GAGAATTAGATACTTCCGTATTACCAAAACAACAGATTACAATGGATTTGTTGACATTTGTGATGCACTTAGAATATGCTGGGAACATAAGGAATATACATCAAACTCATTCAAATGGTCTCCATAAGATAGCACCAATGGCATAAACGCATAAATATACGAACCGAAGCCGATAAGTATTAATTATATACGTTGCTGAGATCATCATTTGACCATGTAAGCTCTCTTCCCAGGGAATTAGATATTTCCGTAGTACCAAAACAACAGATTACAATGGATTTGTTGACATTTGTGATGCACTTAGAATATGATGGGAACATAAGGAGCACACATCAAACTCATTCAAATGGTCTCCATAAGATAGCACCAATGGCATAAACGCATAAATATACGAACCGAAGCCGATACGTATTAATTATGTTGTTGAGTTCATCGTTAGACCATGTAAGCTCTCCTCCCAGAGAATTAGATATTTCTGTATTACCAAAACAACAGATTACAATGGATTTGTTGACATTTGTGATGCACTTAGAATATGCTGGGAATTTAAGGAACATACATCAAACTCATTCAAACTGTTCCTCACTTAATAGTTCCAATGACATAATTGAATAAATATACGAACCGAAGCCGATACGTATTAATTATCTACGTTGCTGAGATCATCATTTGACCATGTAAGCTCTCTTCCCAGGGAATTAGATATTTCCGTAGTACCAAAACAACAGATTACAATGGATTTGTTGACATTTGTGATGCACTTAGAATATGATGGGAACATAAGGAACATACATCAAACTCATTCAAATGGTCTCCATAAGATAGCAGCAATGGCATAAACGCATAAATATACGAACCGAAGCCGATACGTATTAATTATATACGTTGCTGAGTTCATCATTTGACCATGTAAGCTCTCTTCCCAGGGAATTAGATATTTCCGTAGTACCAAAACAGCAGATTACAATGGATTTGTTGACATTTGTGATGCACTTAGAATATGATGGGAACATAAGGAACATACATCAAACTCATTCAAATGGTCTCCATAAGATAGCACCAATGGCATAAACACATAAATATACGAACCGAAGCCGATACGTATTAATTATATACGTTGCTGAGATCATCATTTGACCATGCAAGCTCTCCTCCCAGAGAATTAGATATTTCTGTGTTACCAAAACAACAGATTACAATGGATTTGTTGACATTTGTGATGCACTTAGAATATGCTGGGAATTTAAGGCACATACATCAAACTCATTCAAATGGTTCCTCACTTAATAGTTCCAATGACACAAACGCATAAATATAAGAACCGAAGCCGATACGCATTAATTATTGTTGTTGAGTTCATCGTTAGACCATGTAAGCTCCTCCCAGAGAACTAGATACTTCCGTATTACCAAAACAACAGATTACAATGGATTTGCTGACATTTGTGATGCACTTAGAATATGCTGGGAATTTAAGGAACATACATCAAACTCATTCAAACTGTTCCTCACTTAATAGTTCCAATGACATAATTGAATAAATATACGAACCGAAGCCGATACGTATTAATTATCTACGTTGCTGAGATCATCATTTGACCATGTAAGCTCTCTTCCCAGGGAATTAGATATTTCCGTAGTACCAAAACAACAGATTACAATGGATTTGTTGACATTTGTGATGCACTTAGAATATGATGGGAACATAAGGAGCACACATCAAACTCATTCAAATGGTCTCCATAAGATAGCACCAATGGCATAAACGCATAAATATACGAACCAAAGCCGATACGTATTAATTATGTTGTTGAGTTCATCGTTAGACCATGTAAGCTCTCCTCCCAGAGAATTAGATATTTCTGTATTACCAAAACAACAGATTACAATGGATTTGTTGACATTTGTGATGCACTTAGAATATGCTGGGAATTTAAGGAACATACATCAAACTCATTCAAACTGTTCCTCACTTAATAGTTCCAATGACATAATTGCATAAATATACGAACCGAAGCCGATACGTATTAATTATATACGTTGCTGAGTTCATCATTTGACCATGTAAGCTCTCTTCCCAGGGAATTAGATATTTCCGTAGTACCAAAACAACAGATTACAATGGATTTGTTGACATTTGTGATGCACTTGGAATATGATGGGAACATAAGGAACATACATCAAACTCATTCAAATGGTCTCCATAAGATAGCACCAATGGCATAAACGCATAAATATACGAACCAAAGCCGATACGTATTAAATATGTTGTTGAGTTCATCGTTTGACCATGTAAGCTCTCCTCCCAGAGAATTAGATTTTTCTGTGTTACCAAAACAACAGATTACAATGGATTTGTTGACATTTGTGATGCACTTAGAATATGCTGGGAACATAAGGAACATACATCAAACTCATTCAAACTGTTCCTCACTTAATAGTTCCAATGACATAAACGCATAAATATAAGAACCGAAGCCGGTACGCATTAATTATATACGTTGCTGAGTTCATCATTTGACCATGTAAGCTCTCTTCCCAGGGAATTAGATATTTCCGTAAACAGCGCGGACATCGCCATGCAACATGATGGTTTGATTCATGATCAACTCAGCACATCTTTACAAGGTTTATATTCTATGTGCATCGTCTGTGGATATGCACTTAGAATATTATTTTCACCCAGGAAAAATCATGTAACGATTAGACGTTATCGAAAATAATAATAATAAATAATATTCTAAGTGCTAGCCGGTTACTATAGTGTAGCGTAATTAGATGCAATTAGTGTAGTGTAGTGTAGTGTAGTTTGGTGTGGTGTGGTGTAGTGTAGTGTAGTGTAGTGTGGTGTAGTGTAGTGTAGTGTAGTGTAATTCGTGTTTTGTAATGTTGCATAGTATATTTGCATTTGTAGTTGTAGTAGTAGTGTAGTGGTAGTTGTAGTTGTACTTGTAGTTGTCTATTTATCTATCTATTTATCTACCTGTCTATCTATCTGTCTATCTATCTATCTATCTGTCTATCTATCTGTCTGTCTATATCTATCTTTCTATCTATCTATCTATCTACCTACCTATCTATCTATCTGTCTGTCTATCTATCTATCTGTCTATCTATCTATCTACCTACCTACCTATCTATCTATCTGCAAGCTCGAAAACGAAGCAATTCTGCGAGTCTTCCTCAATTCTTGAACTTGACAGCATCAGAAACGCAGCAATTCTGCGAGTCTTCCTCAACTTTTGAACTTGATAATGTCAAAACCAAAGCAATTCAGCGAGACTCTCTCAATTTGTCTGCGAGATTTCCTTCAAAAATAGAAAGTTGAGTGCAGAGCTGATGATGGCCTGGTACCAATGCGTATTGCGATTGTTCCACTCCATCTGTCTAAAGTATTGCGCCTGCCACGAAAAAGTGAGGCCAGGTCATACGAAGTGCTGCGCCTGTCACGCAAAATCATCTCAGCAAACTTGAAGATCTCATGCTCCAAAATGCAACCCCTCTCAGGAAATCAGCGCCCTGACCTCCTAACATCTCTGATAAACATGTCCCTTGTACTGCGCCTGCCACGCGACATGCATCTTTGCAGATCCTCTGCAAATCTCCCTTCTACATTTTGACTTGGACGTGTGCTTTGCGCCGCAACGGTGTACCCTTTTTCGACATCTCAACTTCCAATGTGGTCCGACCTTGGTGTGTTTTGTACATTTTGGCTTCGAATTGTGCTTCGCGCCACAACGGCGTGCAATTTTTCATCTCTCATCTGGCCAGATGGCTCCACACCCGCCGCTTTAGCGAGCCTACTTTTCGACCCTCCGGAGCCACAAATCATTGGAAAAACAAAGTGTTTCGCGACTTTCCTACCTTTTCGCGCACCTGTATTTTCTTTCTTCTGACTCTTTCTCTTCTCTGATCTTCTCTCTTCTGCTCTTCTCTTCTCAGACTCTTCCCACCTCTGCTTTTCCATCTGTCAATTTTGTCGGAAGTTTGACTTCTAGACTTCCTTCGATTAATATTTGTATATATATATATATATATTATATATATTGTATGAATAGCGGACAAAATGACTGGTTCATTTTCATGCCATGAACAAATTGGGGGTCGTCCCTATCGGTTGTGAAGATTTCTGGGTTCTCAGACTTTGAAGTGATTTATGCCAAATGGGGGTATCTGTATAAGGTTGTCCCCTGTCAGTAATGAAGGTTTTGCACACCCCTCAGCAAGGCCAAGGCGAAGCAAGACCAAGTCAGTATCACAACAACTTTGTCGGTTACTCATAAAAGCACGCGGTACAGAGCCGGAACAGCAAGTCCGACTGCCAAGACAAAATCCTGAAGTTAAGTGCGCCAAAGCTGGTGTTGCTGACAGAATGCGCTTCTGATTTAAAAAGAAGAACTAGGTCGGTGACTAGATGCAAGGTTGTTACTATGCTGACCACTTGCATGCACTATGAGAGCGAGTTGCAGCGCATCGTTACCTTTTGCTACTATCATTGCTGAGAAACAAAACTGCCCGTAGAAAGATACAAAATGTAAAGCATTGTAAAGCCATGCTCTTATGCTCTTTTGTGATCTTTCGTGGCCATTGCTGAATATGTTTGTGGCTCTCAGGGCAATTTCGTCCATGAGGAGATCAAGGCTTTGGATGTTGTGTTCGTGTCATTTGCTTTCAGGGAGGCATGGTTCCGCTTGACAAGTGGTGATCTACTTTTGACACAAGAAGGCTACACAATACAAGCAGCTTTGCACGAAACACTGAATGTGAAATTGCATATGCGTTTGTCTTCGCAAATCACGATTCCGCTCTGCCAAGTCAGTGAAGGTCATGCTGACTGGAGCAGGAAACTTGTTGCTTATCGCTAGATGCAACTAGGCAGGTTGCAAGCTGCATCGGTTGACAGCTAATTACAGTAGATAGTAAGTGTTCCAGTGGCATGCTGTGTGCACGCAGGCGCCATTTGATTGTGTGAAGGATCAGAAATGCGCATGTGGACCCTGCCTCATACCATTTCTCGGAAAACGGCTCCATGAATTTTGTCTGACGGAGCTAAAAGGAGGCGAAATGGCCACTGATGTGACGCAACGCACGCAATCCAACTCTCACTCAAAGCGTGGCCTGGCCTTGTACGAGTGCAGGCATGCCCTTTTGGCCCAGTCGCGATCAGATTGCCTCAAAAAAACTGCTTGGAGGGCAACAGGGCAATATCCAACACCAGGATCTGCTCTGGGCTTGGGGATGTGTTTTGGCCTGCGACTGGGGATTGAACGGGGCACCATAGGCACAATCTCCAACAAGGCAGTGTCCGATTTGAGAGCAATGAAACCTTTTCCGAGATGAAATGGGAAGCGAGACTCAGAGAGTCCCAGAGATCTTTGGCAAGTATAAACATTCAGCAGAACTTTCGATCCTCCTCTGATACTGAAATGATTCAAGCTGTTTTCGAGCCGAAGTTATGCATTGTTTGGCAACGTCAGTTCGATTGCTTGACTACGCAAAAGCGGCCTGATCTGGTGGGTGCGACCTGCAAAATGACTCCAGCCAAAGCAAGCCATGTGACCATGAGATACCATGAGTTTCAATGCCAGAAACAGCGCGAGGAGACTTAAGAACCGCATGTGTCTCGGGGCAGAAGCACATCGATTGGAGCCAGCATGTCTGATATCGGACTGTCCTGTACAGCATGGTAAATCGGGCCCTATTAATAAACAGTATTGCTTGCAAGGAATGTTCCACATTGCTAGTGTTCTGTGCGCCTCTGAACCTCCCTAAAAGAATGTTCCTACTACTGGATACCAATTTCACACAGGTGCCGCCAATGCTACAAGTACCCAACCATTGCCACGCTGGCACATTCAACAATAACATGTACCGCAACCTCGTTGCCTGTGTATGTGACGAGTATGGAAGCAAAATGAACCAAAATAAATGGTGTATGCCTGCATGTATGTCTGTACCTCACTGTACGACTTCTGGTTTGTCCGTCCCTTCGTTCGTCTGTCTGCTTGTGTATGTAGTATACTAATATATATATATTATATACGTATATATATACACACTTATTCAATACATTATGAAGACTTGCTGATCAGATGCCTTAAAGAAATGGGCGGTACCCAAGACCAAAACAAAAAGCCCAAAGGCAAGAGATGAGCAGGCAGAAGTTTGCCACAATGACTGGAAGATCTGGAAGGTAGTTGGGTCCTTGCATTTGCTTGGCAAAAATGTTCAAACCCAAAAATTAAAGAGGTTTTCTGGGCAATGGGCTGGAAAGGTAGTCAAAACACGCAACAAAGAGTTTAAAAGTCAAACAAGAACCATATTTGTTCAACTGTTTGAAGTCTTGGAACAGTCGTTGGGTGTCTGCTTTCTCTTTTTTGTACATATCTCGGCAAAAACACAAAGCAAAAGGGGTGAAAGGCGGAAGGTGAAAGAACGCTACCTTTATTTTTACGGTATGGCATTTCTTTCATGTCTTACATTTCCAGATTGCTTAAGACAAGTAGAGACCCCTCTCTATCATGCTGTCTGCCTGCCTGGCCGTCTGGTTGTCTGTCTATCCTCCTGTGTTGTTTGATTGTCTATCTAGTCTAGTTCTAGTTTTTTTTTCCGCATTGTTATTCATCCGTTTTGTGATTTACTTCCAGTATACACAACTGCAGACCTACCTAAACAAGATGCACAATTGTCTCAGCACTGTACGCCTGCAGCATTGCATGGACAAATTTGCTTCAGATATCATCGCACCTGGTTTACCAGTTTTAAATAAAACACGGAAAAAAGAACAGTTGATCTTTAAAACTTGTCTTAAACAGTTATATAATTCTTCCGGAATTGTTTGTCCAACCCCTGTGACAGAAAGCTCCTCACCAGTCCACCAAGATCTGCACCTGTGACGATCTGCAACTTCAGCAGGGTGTACCTGCTTTTTGATCTTGTTGGATGAAGAATGGTACTTGATCCCGTAATAGGATGTAATAGGTACAAATGACAAAGCGATTCAATATCTTGAGCGCACTGCTCATCGCTCTTCAATCTGTCAGTGAACCACGCAACTGGTTCATAGAAGGTGACTGCATGAAGACGCCCATCCGACTCTCCTAACAACCGCAGAAACAGACTCCTCTCAGCTCGGCTGTCCTTCATGTCTTAAGAATCTTGATGTTGAAAAAATTTGAAAAACAATCATTGCCACAGCTGGACGACTACAGGACATATACTGTATGTCACATGCCCCATCATGCCCTTGCAAAATGTGTGGCTATGTGCGATCGACATATATGATTTATTTGCATGTATGTGAATGTAGAAGGAAAATCAGCTGACCGAAGTCCGACTTGTACAAACACTGTGCAGAAATTGAAGCCAACCGTTTCTATCTACATCTTCCACACATTCACAATTACGCCATATGTGACAAACAAAGCTGCTTACAATGTTTACACTTGTGCAAATGCGTGTTTTGAATGTATGTAACAGTAAACAAATAAAAAAAGATACATGTGAATCTATCGGTTATATGTTATAAAAGTTATATATGTTATGTATGTATATATTATATTACAAGTACTGTCTATGTATGTTTATGCCATATATTATATGTATGTATACAAGTATAGATGTGTGCGCGCGTGTGTGTGTGTGTGCGTGTGTGTCTGTCTGTCTGGCTGTCTAGCTGTCTGGCTGTCTGTCTGGCTGTCTGGCTGTCTGGCTGGCTGTCTGTCTGTCTGTCTGTCTGCCTGCCTGCTGTCTGTCATGTGTGTAAGAAACAGCCCAGGGACAGGCTTTTGGTCGATTTCTCGAGGTTTTTGTGGTTTTTTGATATGATTTGATATGGTTTTGATACGGTTGTGATACAATTGTGAGGGTGAACTTGTTTTTTCCCAAGTTGAGCCCAAACCATTGAGGAATTCGCATTTCCTCACCTAAAGCAAGCCAATCAGGTGCACAGGAGACATGCGCCAATAAAAAACGTCTCAACTTTCATGGAAGCATCCAAGACCCCATCAAAACAAGTTTGACCCACATCAAGAATCACAACTGAAACCATATCAAAGTCATAACTGAACCGTATCAAAATCATAACTGCAAAACCAGGCCGGAAAATCATAACAACAAATCATATCTGAATCATATCAAAATCATAAAATTATATAAAAAGTATTTTAAAAAAAAATTATAAAAAAAAAAAAAACAACTCCATCCTGGAGACTTCGGATGTTATAAGTTATAAGTGTAGGAGCAATCGTAGGTTTGGGGGCCTCACAAACGACGTTCAGCATTGTCCTTGTCCTTTGAAACCTTTCACATGTGTATGCTATATGTCGCTATATCGTGGATGAAACTTCAAAACTCACGAGCTCCCTTCCTTGCTCAAAGCCTTCTTCCCGATCTTCACCTCAAGTGGCGCAAAGGTATTTGGAAGTTGCTCGCAAAAGGTTTGATATGTGACATGCGCATGTTTTGCAACGAATAACTTGGCGTAGACAAGATTGTAAAGTGCAAAGATGTTCAAGGCCTTGTTTGGTATACGCTTTGCGGTTCCCACTGTCTCTTGACTTCCACTGGTCACCATCATTCCACGGAAAAGCTTTCCACTTCGCCTCAATGGTTGTTCAAACAAGGCAAAACAATCTCACATTCCTGGCTACTACTGTCGCTGTCGACTTCCCCCAACCAAATGTCTGTATTGAGGTGAATAGTTTAAAAACTTGACAGCCTTGTCGAAGTAAAGGGCGATCTCAATTCGGCCTCTTCCTGGGTCAAACTGTGACAAGCGCTGGCACACGTTTGGCAGAGACTGCGCTGTTTGGATGTGCCTTACAGTGGCCTTACAGACCTTAGGCCAAAACGCCTGTCAGATTCGTCAGGCTCGACCTTCCAATCCTGAGAAAATGGCATGCCAAGACCATGACCCACCCACTGGTCGCGATCGTGGAACTGGCTGCGTTGAAGTTTGAGGCAAGTCATGGCAGCCATCATGGCAAGTCTCTGGTGACCTTTCTTTCTTTTCGGTTGGCACTCTCACCTCTGCAAACGTGCACGATGCTGCCAACACCCGCATACTGGTAGCTACAATATTTCATGTGCGGAAGCTGCCTCGCCACGAACCAACGCAAAGTAGAACTTCTCAGTCCCTCCCACTTCCAAACTGTGGTCGCTGTTGAACTGCCTAGGCCAAGCAACAGCATCAAGCTGTGCAACGCCCTGGAACACAGAGCACGCAGAATTCTAAGCAACGAACTTTCGGATTTCAGGGAACCCTCGAAAGGTCTTTGCAGCCACCATGACACCCGAAGTCTCCTGATCCACAGCTGTGGATGCCAAATGATGAGCCGGTTGTGCACCAAACGCCAAACAATCCGAACCAACCAAGTCCCAAGACATGGCAAACCCTTCAGTGTCCACTCAGGAACCATCACATGGCATTGAGCTGAATGTATTCTGTTGCAGTACGAGATCTCATTGTAACCATAGGCTCAACAACTCTGGGCAAAGTTTTTGAGGGCCGAGTCCAGACATGGAGAGTTGCTGTTTCATTGTCACTTCCGACCTAGTGTCACATTATCTCACATTGTTTTTGAATGTGTTTGAGGTGCATCTTCAGTGGCCATCCGTCTTAGGTCCCACTACACTACATACTGAGTCACTACTGCTACATCCGACGTCTTCCATCACCATCTTCTGACCCTCAGCTCCTTGTCAAGTCGATTGCAGCAGCCTGCCTGCATGGTGGCACCTTGTGGGCGCACAAACATGCACAAAGACAATTTCACGCGCGCAGTCACATGTAAAACAACCAAAATGCAGTGTCTCACCTTTCATGATGACCATATATAAAATAGTCATAAGCCTTTCGACCGGACCATTTCTGTTCTTTTGCTCAACTTGTTCCGCTGTCAAAATGTTTCACAGAAGCATATTCACAAAGCTGTTTACACTCATTCTGTATTCGTTTATTTTGTTCACTCCAGTATGCTCTGAGTGACATGTGTCGCATCTGCCACATTGGCACGGCTGCTCTTTGATACTGTCGTTCTTCACCTGGGGTCATCCAACATTCAACAAATGCAGAGATTGCGGTCATAGATTGTCATAGACACAGTTCAAGAACTCCCTTGAAGTTTTGCAAGTTCACGGGGAGGGAGGGAGGGAGGGAGAGAGGGGCAGAGAGAGAGAGAGAGAGAGTGAGTGAGTGGCCTTTCTCCAAAAATTCTTGGTGGCTTCTGCGCATTCGTAGTCAAACTTCAAGGCCAAGTACTCATGGATCTGAATGGTAGCCTCTGCATGGCCATAGTTCAGACCATTCACAATTCAAACAAAAGCTCGAATTCAACATACACCAAGGGCATGTTTTCCCGTGTTGGCGCGGCGTTCAACAATGCTTTCTTCCGAAGCAATGATCAAAGGAAGTTTAGGGGGAGAAACTTCCGTGTTACGGACTTTTAGAATGTCAGGGAAAGAGTTAGTCAAAGAAAGAGTTAGCAAAGAAAGTTAGTCAAAGAAAGAGTTAGTGAGGGAAAGAGTTAGTCAAAGAAAGAGTTAGTCAAAGAAAGAGTTAGTCAAAGAAACAGTTTGTCAGGGAAAGAGTTAGTCAGGGAAAGAGTTCGTCAAACCAAGAGTTAGTGAGGGAAAGAGTTAGTCAAAGAAAGAGTTATTGAGGGAAAGAGTTAGTCAAAGAAAGAGTTAGCAAAGAAAGAGTTAGTCAGGGAAAGAGTTAGTCAAAGAAAGAGTTAGTGAGGGAAAGAGTTAGTGAGGGAAAGAGTTAGCAAAGAAAGAGTTCGTCAGGGAAAGAGTTAGTCAAACCAAGAGTTAGTGAGGGAAAGAGTTAGTCAAAGAAAGAGTTAGTCAAAGAAAGAGTTAGTGAGGGAAAGAGTTAGTGCAGAAACAGTTAGTCAGGGAAAGAGTTAGTCAAAGAAAGAGTTAGTCAGGGAAAGAGTTAGTCAAAGAAAGAGTTAGTGAGGGAAAGAGTTAGTGAGGGAAAGAGTTAGCAAAGAAACAGTTAGTCAAAGAAAGAGTTCGTCAGGGAAAGAGTTAGTCAAAGAAAGAGTTAGTCAGGATATATGAGGTAGTCAGAGAAAGAGTTTGCAAAGAAACAAGTTAGTCAAAGAAAGAGTTAGTGAGGAAAAGAGTTAGTCACAGAAAGAGTTAGCAAAGAAATTGTTCCCTCACTGTAAATGGGATTGCAAGTGGTGCTGGTGGAGGAGTTGCCGATGGAGTTTTGGAGGAAGTCTCGCACGAAATGCGTTTTTGAGAGATAGCAAATGCACGAAAGCCTATGTATTTCCATACAAAGTCTGTCCCCGAACGTCGATGATCTACCTCTGCTGTGCGACGGGTGCGAGACGGTCTCGTGTGTGGTCGGATCATGTTCGGATCATGGGCGGATATTCTCGGATCGGTTCCGCATTGTAAATGGGGTGTCAACAGTTTTTCGTGCATGTGTGGTCGACAGAATTCCATTGTGATTTGCAACTGTAGGATCGTTCCCGCATTGTAAATGGGGTTGCAAGTGGTGCTGGTGGATGAGTTGCCGATGGAATTCCATTTTGATTTGCAACTCTAGGATCGTTCCCTCACTGTAAATGGGATTGCAAGTGGTGCTGGTGGAGGAGTTGCCGATGGAGTTTTGGAGGAAGTCTCGCACGAAATGCGTTTTTGAGAGATAGCAGATGCACGAAAGCCTATGTTTTTCCATACAAAGTGCGTCCCCGAACGTCGATGATCTACCTCTGCTGTGCGACGGGTGCGAGACGGTCTCGTGTGTGGTCGGATCATGTTCGGATATTCTCGGATCGGTCTCGGATCGGTTCCGCATTGTAAATGGGGTTTCAACTGTTTTTCGTGCATGTGTGGTCGACAGAATTCCATTGTGATTTGCAACTGTAGGATCGTTCCCGCATTGTAAATGGGGTTGCAAGTGGTGCTGGTGGATGAGTTGCCGATGGAATTCCATGTGATTTGCAACTCTAGGATCGTTCCCTCACTGTAAATGGCATTGCAAGTGGTGCTGGTGGAGGAGTTGCCGATGGAGTTTTGGAGGAAGTCTCGCACGAAATGCGTTTTTGAGAGATAGCAAATGCACGAAAGCCTATGTTTTTCCATACAAAGTGCGTCCACGAACGTTGATGATCTACCTCTGCGGTGCGACGGGTGCGAGACGGTCTCGTGTGTGGTCGGATGGATCATGTTCGGATATTCTCGGATCGGTCTCGGATCGGTTCCGCATTGTAAATGGGGTGTCAACAGTTTTTCGTGCATGTGTGGTCGACAGAATTCCATTGTGATTTGCAACTGTAGGATCGTTCCCGCATTGTAAATGGGGTTGCAAGCGGTGCTGGTGGATGAGTTGCCGATGGAATTCCATTGTGATTTGCAACTCTAGGATCGTTCCCTCACTGTAAATGGGATTGCAAGTGGTGCTGGTGAATGAGTTGCCGATGGAGTTTTGAAGGAAGTCTCGCACGAAATGCGTTTTTGAGAGATAGCAGATGCACGAAAGCTTATGTTTTTCCATACAAAGTCCGTCCCCGAACGTCGATGATCTACCTCTGCGGTGCGACGGGTGCGAGACGGTCTCGCGTGTGGTCGGATCATTCTCGGATATTCTCGGATCATTCTCGGATCGGTTCCGCATTGTAAATGGGGTTTCAACTGTTTTTCGTGCATATGTGGTCGACAGAATTCCATTGTGATTTGCAACTGTAGGATTGTTCCCGCATTGTAAATGGGGTTGCAAGTGGTGCTGGTGGAGGAGTTGCTGATGGAATTCCATTGTGATTTGCAACTCTAGGATCGTTCCCTCACTGTAAATGGGATTGCAAGTGGTGCTGGTGGAGGAGTTGCCGATGGAGTTTTGCAGAAAGTCTCGCACGAAATGCGTTTTTGAGAGATAGCAGATGCAAGAAACCCTATGTTTTTCCATACAAAGTCCGTCCCCGAACCTCGATGATCTACCTCTGCGGTGCGACGGGTGCGAGACGGTCTCGTGTGTGGTCGGATCATGGGCGGATATACTCGGATCATGGTCGGATCGGTTCCGCATTGTAAATGGGGTGTCAACTGTTTTTCGTGCATGTGTGGTCGACAGAATTCCATTGTGATTTGTAACTGTAGGATCGTTCATGCATTGTAAATGGGGTTGCAAGTGGTGCTGGTGGATGAGTTGCTGATGGAATTCCATTGTGATTTGCAACTCTAGGATCGTTCCCTCACTGTAAATGGGGTTGCAAGTGGTGCTGGTGGAGGAGTTGCCGATGGAGTTTTGAAGGAAGTCTCGCACGAAATGCGTTTTTGAGAGAGAGCAGATGCACGAAACCCTATGTTTTTCCATACAAAGTCCGTCCCCGAACCTCGATGATCTACCTCTGCGGTGCGACGGTTGCGAGACGGTCGCGTGTGTGGTCAGATCATGGGCGGATCATTCTCGGATCGGTTTCGCATTGTAAATGTGGTGTCACCTGTTTTTCGTGCATGTGCGGTCGACAGAATTCCATTGTGATTTGCAACTGTAGGATTGTTCCCTTATTGTAAATGGGGTTGCAAGTGGTGCTGGTGGATGAGTTGCTGATGGAATTCCATTGTGATTTGCAACTCTAGGATCGTTCCCTCACTGTAAATGGGATTGCAAGTGGTGCTGCATGAAGGCTGCCACAGTGATTTGTCAGCAGATTTTCTCTATTTTGGCGCTAATGATTTTCCTTCTAAAAATCCTTTTAAAAAAGTGCTTCAAAATCGTCTTTTTTTCGCTCTGGCGTCGAGATCCGGTTGTGGAGCTACAATTTCCGACGCCGTTGAGTGTACTTCTATTGCGTTTTGCAACTCAGTCTCTGCAGATCGCATTGTAATGGCTGCGTCAAGGTTGCTTCGTGCTGTGGCTGTATTCGTAATACTATTGTCTTTTGCAGCTGGACTTCGTAAATCGTATTGGAGTGGCCGCATGCGCCACAGTGATTTGTCAGCTGATTTTCTCCATTTTGGCGTCAGTGATTTTCCTTCTAAAAATCCTTTTAAAAAGTGCTTCAAAATTGTCTTGCACAACAACAGTACGTGGTTGGACGACAAAGAGTCGGACGACGAAGTTCTCCGCAGACAATACCGTCATCTCTGGGAAGCTGTGCGGTCCTTTCAACCAGAGTTTGTTGATGCTGAGATGAAGCGCAGACAAGGTCTTGCCGCAGAGGTTTCAACTCTCGTTTGACTGCCGAGGGCTGGGTGTGCGTTGTTATGAACCGCATCCGGGTGTGAATTGCTGTGCTTCAGTAGCTTCGCCTTTCATTTGACCTTGCGAACCGCAGAATGCCTCTGTCACTTGGTTTTGGTTTCTGTGTGCGTTGTTACGAACCGCACAAAAAACCATGATCGTATTGCATACATGTGATATGTCAGCTGTGTTTCTGCGCATACATGTGGATTGACATTACAGCTACGTAACGCGGTCACAACGGACAGCACAGTTACTATGTCGTACATGCAAGACGTACCAACTAACGTTCAGTGCTTATTGTCGAAGTACGTCGTTACGGACTGCTTTTACCTTTGCCATGGCGCTCGCCGCATACGACTGGCTGGTATGGAAGGATAGAGATGCTAGCTTTCTGCGGGCTCACCCTCGGGAAGTTGCGCTGCAACTCACTTGGGGTCAGCGACTGGTGGTTCCGGGAGCTCGTGAGGCATACGCAGTCGCAACCTATGAGCGAGAGGCCATGGGTCGTAGCCTCGGCGCGGCGCCATGCAACTTGTGTGGATGCTGGACACATAGCTGGTGTGAAGCTTGCAAAACACGTCCGCCCACTGCAATTTGTTCGACGTGCGACGCGGCCAAACTCTTGTGTCAGTCTTGCACGTCGTGTCACCAGCTGGTTTACTCCGAGGCTTCACAGAAGCCACCATAGCAACGTCAATTCCTCCCGGAACTGGACGTGCGAAGTTGTGTTCCGCGTCCAGCATGGTCGAGACGGCGCTGGAGAGTCAGACAAGCACGGCGGCAAGTGTGCAGCCACCTGTGGTGAATGACTAGAACGCCAAAAGTTCAGATTGGGGCCATTGGAGAAAGCCGAAGTCTCTGGTACGCTTTGCGTCGCCACAGAACCGAAGCTCAGTGCGCAGAATGGCTCAACATCTTGCACAGCAACAGTACGTGGTATTGCCGCAGAGGGATCAATTCTCGTTTGACTGCCGAGGGCTGGGTGTACGTTGTTGTGAACCGCATCCGGGTCTGAATTGCTGTGCTTCAGTAGCTTCGCCTTTCATTTCGAGTTGCAGACGGCAGAATGCCTGTGTCACTTCATTTTCGTTTCTGTGTGCGTTGTTACGAACCACACAAGAAACCATGATCGTATTGCATACATGTGACAAAAAAAAGGATCTTTCAGATTTTGGCTGCTTTCATTTTCTATTTCACATCAACTTTTTCTGCTCTGGCGTTGAAGTGTGAAGGAAGCAGTGGAAAGTGTGAAGTGTGAAGTGTGAAGGAAGCAGTGGGAAGTGAAAAGTGTGAAGTGTGGAGTGTGAAATTTCAGTTTGGAGTGCGAAGAGCGCAGTGTGAAGTGTGAAGTGTGAGGTTTGGAGTGTGAAGGAAGCAGTGAGAAGTGAGAAGTGTGAAGTGTGGACTGTGAAGTGTGAAGTGTGAAGTGTGAGGTTTGGAGTGTGAAGGAAGCAGTGAGAAGTGAGAAGTGTGAAGTGTGGACTGTGAAGTGTGAAGTGTGGAGTCTGAAGTTTCAGTTTGGAGTGCGAAGAGCGCAGTGTGAAGTGTGAAGTGTGAGGTTTGGAGTGTGAAGGAAGCAGTGAGAAGTGAGAAATGAGAAGTGTGAAGTGTGAAGTGTGAGTGAAGTGTGAAGTGTGAAGTGTGAGGTTTGGAGTGTGAAGGAAGCAGTGAGAAGTGTGAAGTGTGGACTGTGAAGTGTGAAGTGTGGAGTGTGAAGTTTCAGTTTGGAGTGCGAAGAGCGCAGTGTGAAGTGTGAAGTGTGAGGTTTGGAGTGTGAAGGGAGAAGTGAGAAATGAGAAGTGTGAAGTGTGAAGTGTGAGTGAAGTGAGAAGTGTGAAGTGTGAAGTGTGAGTGAAGTGCGAAGTGAGAAGTGTGAAGTGTGAAGTTTGGAGTGAGAAGTGTTAAGTTTGGAGTGTGAAGGAAGCAGTGAGAAGTGTGGACTGTGAAGTGTGCAGTGTGAAGTGTGAAGTGTGAGGTTTGGAGTGTGAAGGAAGCAGTGAGAAGTGAGAAGTTTGGAGTGCGAAGAGTGCAGTGTGCTGTGTGAGGTGTGGAGTGTCGAGGGAAGGACACGGTCGGGACAGGGTGTCTTTGAACTATAGGTCATTTATGTTTGGGAAACTTCCGCCGCCGGCTTGCCCGGGTCTATGTTACTTCTGATATCAAGTGCTGCAGCGCAGTTAAACAAAGGGGTGGGTTTACTTACCATGTTTTATCAGGCTTCTCTGAAGTGATCTGCAAAGTGCTGCCTGCCAGAAACATATTACATCTGGAAAACTTCTCAACAGTGCATCTGTGGATTTCACCTTTGCGCACGAATTCCTGTAACGTCTTCCAGGTATGGGTCTCTCCGTGACACACCCCGCATTCGCCGCATTCACGCATTCGGTGTTCCGCAAAGTTCTCGAATCTGCTGCGCCATGAACATCTAATCATTGACCTGCTTAGTGGACGCGTCTCAGCAGCCCCAAACCATGTTGGAAAAAGATAGAAAAAGTTGAATGCGGATACATTTCAACATATTTCAACCCCAGACCCTCAAGCAGTGCCTGATATATTCTTGGATACGTGCTTTGGATCATTCTGCGAGAAAGGGCAATTTTGGAAGTGTCATGTGGGGCCGAACATACAAGAACCACAGCAGGGAGGACGTGCAGGACCAGCGAACCACCACAGACTTCCTTTGCTTTGCTGTTGCATAGGCCTGGCTCACACCTACCTGCAGTACCTACAGCACCTACAGTCCCACACATTGTTTCACTGATCGGCAAACATCCCACCATATGTACGCACGCATCCATCACTGCACCCGCAAAGGCAAAGGCAATGCCTGCAAGCCTTCATCAGGTTAAATCTCTACGCGCCATCTCACCCAAAAAGCACATGCTCAATGACCACGACTTCAAGCTGGCACACCATCCAGAGCCCGCTCAGTGGCAAGGGAAACATGCAAAACATGCAGAAACCGTCCTTGCATTATTCTATATTGCAACCAGACCCACGGTACTTTGTAGTTTTGATATACTGGGGCTTTGTGCTTTAAACATTGAGGTGTTGCGTTCTTTCACAAGAACTTTCGGCAAAACACTGCACAGCAAATATCAACAATATTGCAGATTCAAACACACCAAACACAGGGTATGATTGACATGTTTCAAACCTGTTCAAAAATCCTTGCGAAGCTCCCTCAGAAAACCTCACATGTATGGACTGCAGGCCTTGGTGCAATTAAGCAATTGAGTTGGTGTCTCGCACCCGGCCTAGGAAGTGGCAGATATAGCCGAGACATGCGGAGACTACAGCCAACAGCCAACAATGCATCAAGATCTCCAACATGTGTTGCCTTGCTGAGCCATACGATGCCATCAAGGCACAGTCGGAGGTAGCTTACCACTACCATAGTTGCACGTAAACATCGGGGGTTTGTCAATGACAAGCAGCTCATCCTCTCAGGATGGGTACACAAAAAATTGTTCAGGTAAATTGCGCACAAACCATGGCAGCAATGAAGTTCAACTATGGTCAACTCAGTTTAGTCATGTTATGTCATGTTTATATGGTTCGATTTGGCTCAGTGGGAGCTGACATCCCCAAGCTCTTGGATCCTCAAATCCTTTTGTGATGTCCGTCCACGTCCACATTCCGTTTGTACCTTTTTTGATTAACGATACATGATGCATTTCCGAAAGGTTCCATTGACCTCACGATACCTCACGTCCCTGCATCATGTCCGGGGTCCGTCTCGCCCAGCAGCTTTGGCGGCGCGTGTTTGGTTCTGACCTCCCCAGTGAGGACGAAGTGCAAATAGTTCTTCAAGACCTCTCACTAAGGGACAAGAAAGCATAAAACTGCCCTTGGCCCTTGATTGCAGTTTTAACAAAAAACGAAAAACAAAGAGGGAAACAAGCGATATCCATGTCGATCGGGCAGGAACGGAGTCGCTCAAATTGATTAGTAATCAGATTGACGGAATAGATTTCATCATTTGTAGGCACGTTATAGCACATTTGAGATGTCTACGGCAACCGATTCGAATAATTCAACGCGATGTGACTTATGCCGCGTATGCCTGTCTGGGCATGTGCCTACTGTTCATGTTTGGTTATTGTGGGTACACGTCTTCACATGTCTTGACGCTTGGACTGCTGGAATTCTATGGAATTGTGGAATTGCGCAGGATACGTCACCAATTTCAAGCAGCCTACAGGCGGAAACTTGCTATTCGAGGATTTCAAATGTCCAGATTCCAGATGTTACAGTATGAAGATTATCAAGGGCTTCAGAGACTGAAGAACCTTCAGAATAGGCGAAACCACTCAAACAAAGAGCCAAGCCTGCGGCATTGCATGTAAGTTGGTGTGCAATGCAGAGTGCCTCTGCTACAATCTTTTCCGAAACTGTCTTGATGCACCTGCCACACTTGCTAGAATTGAAGGCAAAACATGCAACTGAAAGCAAAACAAAGACCGGCTACAGGAAAGGTCCGATGTTGTTGTTCTTAAATGCTTTGAAACGCTTTGATGGCAGCCAAAGGGGGTGGGACAACGTGACATTTCGTCTCTGCCAAATCTGCCATGCCAGCGAGGCGGTCCGCGAAAATCCAATGGACTCCACCTGATTCAATCACTGTGTACGCCACTGAAGGACTGTGTTGCATCACAGGTTTGGGACACCTGTCTACAGCTGCAACACAAGGAACACTTTTGGAACGCAAGTAGGCACCAGGCAACTCGAAGTCAATGATTTCCTGCTTGCGCCAGTGCACAGGGCCACATTAAAGCAAAATCCTGGTGAATCGTGATTTGAAATGGCCAAAGAATCTCCTTGAGCATTCCTTTTGCTTCTTCCCAAGCTTGCTTCCGCTTGCCATCGTGATCGTGATTCGGATCGATCTTTTTGTGAATTTTTCTTGATGTACCTCTGCAGTTTCGACCCTTTTGGCTTTGCAATCGGTTTGCGGCACTTGTGAAATTATATACACCAATACAAGACAATATAACTTGAATGAAGCACAAATGGCAGCGCAGTCCATGGCACGCGTGTTTAATCTCACACCAGCACCCCACCCGCACACCAGCACCTAAACATGCACAGCGCTTTGATTGACAAGGTGCTGTGCCCTGGTTAAGACATTTCGCCAAAGGTTTTGAAACTCTGCAAAATAGAACCAACAGCTTTGGTTCATGGTTCCACCGTACGCATGTCGTATCATCACATCCTGAAGCCTCTTTGTTGCCTCACTGTTCGGGCATGCGGCAACAACACACTGGCACACGCCTTACTTTTAATTTTTACATACTTTTACCGTCCTGTATTGAGAGCAAACAGACACACACACACACATACACATTTGTTCAGGCCTGTCTTATCGAATTGGGAAGTGGAATGCATAGGTCGTGCAAAACACGCTTATATTCTACCTGGCAGGAGAGAGGAATACAGAGAAGACAGGAGGAGTCAGTGTTGCAAATACCCGAAACGTTGTCACTGAAACTGTTGTCCAATAAAATCGGTAGCTGTCCCTTCCCCTTTCCAAGATCCATGACGAAACTGTTGTCAGATTGCGGCAAACGTAGATGAAAAAGTCAATGAAGGGAAATTGCAAACTGTTCGGCGAGGTGGTTCTTGGGTTCGCCACGCCCCATGTCCAGAAAGTAAAATCTTTGCAGGTACGTCAGGATGATCAGTCCCGATAGCCTCCCAACTCATGAGTAGCTTCATCGGCAGTGGACTCATGAGTGGGCCACTGCCCCCTGCATAAATTAGCTGGATACAAGTTTTACATCTATTGAGACGGTTCACACTGGACTGACTGGACTGGTTTTGAGACTTGAAGATTGAAGCTGGTTCCAAAGTAGGTGCTCCTCGAAGTCAGAGTTGAGGTCGCAAAAGTGCTAAATCAACAGAAATCGAAACTGTGTGAATGGAAGCACGGTGAAGCAGTGAATAGGAACAGAAATCAACAGTTCAGACTGGTTTGGCGCAGGTACGCACGGATGATCAATCCGTGCTTGCAAAGAGCTTCGTTGGGCAGAGTTTTGCAAGCCCCCTCTCCCCCCCTGCATATTTGAAAAATGTGACGACTGAATCAAGAACCAGACACACACACATGCACACGCACACGCACACGCACACGCACACGGACGCGCACACACACACACACTTGCTCAGAACAGTCATTGCGAATTCTGATGTGGAATGCATCGGACGTGCAGAAACACCAAAAGTAACCGGCACGAAGAATGAAAAATGATAAGAATATATATATATAGATATATATATATATAGCAGTAGACGTTGATCCTATAAAGCAACAGCGATAAACTATATGTCCCCCCCAGCTGCGACTTATATGCGCCCAGGGGCGGGACTATAATATTATATTATATTAGAATTGCAGGTACGTCAGCGCTGGCCAGGCACCGATATCACATCCACTTGGCGCGGTCTTTGTTAGATGAGGCACACCAAGGGACCCTCATCCCCCAGCAATATATAGAAGTTTTACATCTATACAGATGGTACACACACACACGCACACACACACACCCCACCGCAGCGCGGCAGATGAAATGAAAATGAAAGTGAGATGAAAATGAAAATGAAATGAAATTTACTTAAACAGGACGCGAAGAGGGGAACGCAAAAGAAGAGGGACAGAGAGAACACCAACACAACACACCTGGCCCGGAACGGGCAAACCCTGAAAAGGCAAGGGAAAAGAAAAGCGGAGGCAGACGGACAACGGAACAAGACCAGCGGAGGGGGGGGAAGACGGAAGCACTTGAACCAACCTAACACGGCGAAACCTACGCCTACCTCGGCACGGGAAGGGCCCAACCTACGTGAAGAGGGGAGAACACATGAAAAAAGGGACCCATGGGGGACAAGTTAATGAAATGATGCATCCACAATCCATGCAAGAGTCGTGATAAGGCTCAAGGCCCTCGGTATTCAAGTCAACCCCATGGACAGCTTACGTCGTCAACCCCTGAATTACGTGCACAATTGAACCTCACCAACGACCACAAAAAGAAGAGTCACCATACCTGCAAGCATGGCCTGTGCCTGGAATCCTCATGTTGCAAGTGTCGACATCTGAAAATGCTCGAGCAATATTGAAAAAGGAATTGTTGTCGCAGCTTCCAGCTATGCAAAACAGGAGAAGTCTCAAAAACGGTGAGGCCAGTCACAGCGGCAAGCTGTTTAACCAAACGACAATCGACTGGTGAAACCCTGAAAAAAAGGCCAGCTGTTTCACTTTACCTAAACGAATTACTAGATTAAAAATGTAAATTCAGACATCGGGTCGTTGCATCCACATTCTGCTTAGAAAAGCATTCCCCCGAAGGGTTCATGCCACCTTGACGAATCCAGCATGAATCACGCACTTGCTCAGAACAGTCATCGCGAATTCTGATGTGGAATGCATCGGACGTGCAAAAACACCAACAGTAAACTGACACGAAGAACGAAAAATAATAAGAATGAACATATATATATATATAGATATAGATATAGCAGTAGACGTTGATCCTGTAAAGCAACAGCGATAAACTATATGTCCCCCCCAGCTGCGACTTATATGCGCCCAGGGGCGGGACTATAATATTATATTATATTAGAATTGCAGGTACGTCAGCGCTGGCCAGGCACCGATATCGCGTCCACTTGGCGCGGTCTTTGTTAGATGAGGCACACCAAGGGACCCTCATCCCCCAGCAATATATAGAAGTTTTACATCTATACCGATGGTACACACACACACACACTTGCTCAGAACTGCCATTGCAAATTCTGTTGTGGAGTGCATCTGACGTGCAAAAACAATCCAGCTACACCTGACAGGAACAGGAGGGTGTTTGGTGTGGAGTGAAAGGAAAATTCTTTCGTCGCCACCTTGAAGAATGGAATAAAATCAATAGAAGCCAGGAAGAATCCCACAATATAAGCAGAAAATTGTAATGGACAAGAGATTCACCGCAGTTTCAGATTGTGCCAACTGTGCAGAAAGATAAATGAGAAGCCACCTTCATCCGTTCATGTGCTTAATTCAAAAAGCCTGATGTTGAAAAACTGCATGGTGGTTCTTGGGTTAGCCACATCCCATCACGATTCAAAAATTGCAGGTACGATTGCACAGCAACTTGGATGGGTCTTCGTTGGCCCATGCCATCCAAGTGCCCATGGGCCCCCTGCGAAACTTAGAAGTTTTACATCTCTTCAGATGGTTCACACACACGCACCGCAGCAGCGGGGCTTTTTAAGGCTCCGACAAGTGAGATGAAGGTGAGGATGAAAGGGACATGGAAATGAGATGACGCTGGAAATGAGATGACAGCTACTTAACCGGGACACGAGACGGGGAACGCAAAAGAGGAGAGGAAAAAGGGAAACACCAACACCAACACACCTAGCCCAGAGCGGGCAAACCCGGAAAGGGCAAGGGAAAAGAAAAAGCGGACGGACGACGGGCCAAACACCGACCAAAGGACGGGGGGCGGACAGAAGCACACCGACCAAAGGAGGGGGGGGCGGACAGAAGCGCCTGACACAACCTACAAGGCGAGAGCAGTCAACAATATGGTGCGTTTTCTATTGCATATGTGACCCACATGCTGAAAGCATCCAGAGGCACGAATGAGTGCATGCGATTCAGGAGGTGATTTTCATTCACTTCGACTGTGCCGAAGGTGTTGGAAAGTGTTTTTTTAATTTTAATAGCGTAGCATCAAGAGCAATTTAGTCCGGCACTGTGGCATCCAGAGAGCGTGCACTTGCAAATGAACGTTAGTAGCCCACCCCACGCCACACCACCCGACCCCCACCCTAAAATCATTTATTTTACGAGCACGGTTTTCGGCCGATGATATGTACTATCTTGATGAGTATGGATATTTCCAGAGAAAAGGAAAAGGAAAAGGAAAGAAAGGCTACCCAAAAATCCAACAAGAGAAAGAGTTTTGGTGACGGTCCATTATTGGACGAGTCTTGGCGCAACTGGGATGGTTCTGGCGAATGGGTACATGATGATGATACTGGCTACGGTGGCTCCTCATCTTCAACATCGTGGGCATGGAGACCGAAAAACAGATGAGTGTATACTTCTAGAAGAAGAAGATAACACAGCGCGATTTTGCTCAGTACAGTTTTTCTGTGAGCTCATTTTTCTTTTTCACAAGAAAGGTATATACTCTTGATAGCCGGAAATAATACCACAGCTGTGTACTCATTTCTACACAAGATGGAATTTACCCTTTTAATTAGAGCCAATGCCTCTACTGTGTCTGAATTTCACTTTAATGTAGATATATACTAATAATTAATATATACTCTTGTACTTAAAGATAATATCGCATTTTGTCTCCACACATTTTCCGCCGAGCAGACTAGTTCTGAAGCGAACGAATCAAATACCAACTCCGAATTTTTGTCCATTGTCCGCTTGAATGGGCGACCTGGAGATCCGATTTATCCGTTTATTTTGTGATTCGGTCAACTGTTTTCCATCTGACCTGAAATTCTGAATCTTGCAGTTCGAACGTTTGGAGGACGAATCTTTCACACCGGTAGAGCATTTTGCTATGATCGACCGTGCTTCACGCACCATTGTCGAGAAAAATATTTTGCGAATCTGCTGGCATTCGTTTGTTTTTGTAAAGAACCCACTGCGTAACTTCCGCTCGGTTTTGCTGATTAGCCAACGTGTAGCATAGTTACAGGCTCTGACTCTTATTCTCAATTGGGTACGACAAAGCGTAGTGCGCTGCTCATTGCCTTTGAAATTGTGCCTATGTTTTTGTTTTGGCTTGGATCCTACGTGGATATAGCATGAGTAATTATTGAGCACATTTACATACGCTGTCAAGGCTCAAGAAAGATATAGAGTAATCCTGTAGACACTGCACCGACTGGCTATTGGCCGAGTATAAAAGGTGTGAAGCTGCCTGACGCTCTAGCCGATCTAACCTAGACGCTAGTGCCCCTCTTCACCCCCCCCACCCCAACGACATAGCACAAGCGTGTTAGAAAAAGAAGCCAAGACAGAAAAACGCACGAAACCAGACGGCGTTCTAGGAGCCACCAGCCAACTAGAACAATCCCCACATTGTGCACACAACAGTGTCAGTTGAGCAGTACTAGCAAGTGAAAAGAAAAGCCACATCTACATCTACATATATATATATGTAATATGCCGCTGTATGCCTATGGGCATCTGGTCCTCTTGGAAACAAGTAAGAACCCTTACACTGTGTCCACGCAGCTTGAGATTTCGGAGGAACGGCAGTTGCTGATTCCTGCTATTTGCAGACGAACCTGCAGGTAAGTGAGCCCTCCATGCCAGCGTTTAAAGATTTTAAAATGCGCACTGGCTAATGAGATCAAAATGAGATGACAAGCGGCACTTCGGCACGGCGCACCCCAAACAAATTTTGCAAGTTCCACTTGAGGCGCAACTCTTGCCTGACAGGTTTGAGACGGTTTGAAGCGGTTTGATGCCAAAGAAAATGCCATAAAAACAACCTGTCTCGTGGTGAAAACAATACGGCACCTCGTCCACAAAGACCTGCACAGTTGAGCACCTTTCCTGCAGGTACAAGAGGACAAAACCATATAATGCCGAGTGTGTGTGTGTGTGCATATGTATATATATATATCTGTGTGTGTGTGATATGGATATATATATATATAGATATACAAAATGATGATTGATCAAAATTCCTTTATCCGGGAACGGCCATTCTTCGCGGGTAAAAAATCCCTCGCGAACTCCATGTTTATCTTTCGCGGAGCCCATGTTGAGCAACAACTCCTCTTATGAAGATTCATTAGCCACCTGCCAAACCACACAAAATTATCACGGATAACTTCTTCATAGCATTGTAAACATGCAACTAGCATCACGGAATCCACTTCTCAGGACAGGTTGTTGCTGATTAGGCAATTTTTTGCAAGGCTTGCTGGGCCACTCCCTTCAAAATGCACTTTGACTTCCGCCCACTCTTTCGCAGAACTTTCGCGGAGCTTTCGCGAAAATAACCCTATCCGCAGACCCCAGCCATCAGCAGGGGGCACATCAGAGGAAAAGCAATCACAAGGGGCCTTGGTGTTTGGCTCTCGCAAAAATTCTTGAGGCTTCAGAAAGCAACGTTAGGCAGTACCAGCGGCAGGTGCAAGGATGTGCTTCCAGGCCATGGAATTTGGCTCACCTTCGGAAGCTTGGCTGCTACGTATGGTGCGGTACCATTCTCCTGCAGGACCCCGGGCGGCAGGAGGTGGTAGCCCTTAACAAGCTGTAATGTATGCAATGATAATGATTCATGATATCCAACTTTCACGAAACTTTCGCGAAAAAATATTTCGCGAACTCGAAAAAAACTTTCGCGAGGGTTTCCAACATAACACGCGCGGCTTTCGCGATTAAAACTCCTTACAAGGACCTTTAGATCGACTGCCATATATGTATACCTGAATGGGCGAAAGCTATCGGCAAGGAAGAAGGGTAAGAAAGACGGACCAGGACGTAGAAGCAAAAGTCAGGACATAGATGAGAAAGAGATGGCCTTTAGTTGGCAGGCGGGAGCTATGTATTACATTTAGTATTCCTTCATTTTTGTTGCTCCTTCCCTTTGCTTAGGGATCTCTGGGGGTCTCTAGGGATCTCTGGGGATCTTTGCTGGGATCTCATCTCTGGAGATTTAGGGATCTCTGGGAATGCCTGGGGATCTCTCTCTGGGAATCTCTAGGGATCATGGCGTTGTTAACACCAGTTACATCTAGCAACATATGAAGTATAGAATCGAGTGCACACTTCATTGGATGAAAGATATACATAAGAACTATAACAGATAATGTACTAAAAAAACACTCAAAACCACGTAATTTGGGAGCACCTGGTGGCGGCCCTCTCTCTTTATGTAGGGTTGGCTTTAGGGTTAGTTTAGGGTTGGTTTAAGAATTAGATTTTTTAATATTTATGCAGGTGCTGTTAAAGATTTATTTGGGGTTAGTTCAGGATGTATTTATGGTTGGCCCGTGGTTTGTTTACGTGCTATTTAGGGATTATTTAGGGTTTGTGTATGGGTTCTTTATGGGTGGCTTCGGGTGTATTTGGTGGTGGTTTAGGAGGAAATTATTTGAAGTTGGTTTAAAGTTTATTTGCGTTTCTTTAAACCTTCTTTAAGGTTGGTTTAGGTTTTGTTGAGAATTTGTTTGAGGTTTCCTTAGGGATTATTCAGGGTGGGTTTATTTAAGGTTGGTCTAGGGTTGGTTTTGGGTGTTTTTCCCCAAACAGCCTTACCTGTATGGGGTTCTTACTCCTTTCAAAGGACTGCATCCCTGGGCCGCATGATTTTGCCTCTGTCTCCGGGCTTGCATCCCACCCTGGGTTCCTTGGGCCACATGAGTTTACACTTGTCTCTCCCTTGTCTCCCATTCTGGGTGCTTTGGGCTGCATGAGTTTACACTTGTCTCCCCCTTGTCTCCCACTCTGCATGAGTTTACACTTGTCTCCCCCTTGTCTCCCACTCCCGCGTAAGTTTACACTTGTCTCCCCCTTGTCTCCCACTCTGGGTGGCTTGGGCCGCATGAGCTTACACTTGTCTCCCCCTTGTCTCCCACTTTGGGTGCCTTGGGGCGCATGAGTTTACACTTGTCTCCCCCTTGTCTCCCACTCTGGGTGCCTTGGGCCGCATGAGTTTACACTTGTCTCCCCTTGTCTCCCACTCTGCATGCCTTGGGCCGCATGAGTTTACACTTGTCTCCCCCTTGTCTCCCACTCTGCGTGCCTTGGGCCGCATGAGTTTACACTTGTCTCCCCCTTCTCCCACTCTGGGTGCCTTGGGCCGCATGAGTTTACACTTGTCTCCCCCTTGTCTCCCACTCTGGGTGCCTTTGGCCGCATGAGTTTACACTTGTCTCCCCCTTGTCTCCCACTCTGGGTTCCTTGGGCCGCATGAGTTTACACGTGTCTCCCCCTTGTCTCCCACTCTGGGTGCCTTGGGCCGCATGAGTTTACACTTCTCGTCTCCCACACCTGTCTCCCACACTTGTGTCCCACTCTGGGTTCCTTGGGCCGCATGAGTTTACACTTGTCTCCTCCTTGTCTCCCACTCTGGGTGCCTTGGGCCGCATGAGCTTACACTTGTCTCCGCCTTGTTTCCCACTCTGGGTGCCTTGTACACTTGTCTCCCCCTTGTCTCCCACTCTGGGCGCCTGGGGCTGCATGAGTTTACACTTGTCTAGTTTACACTTGTCTCCCCCTTGTCTCCCACTCTTTACACTTGTCTCCCACACTTGTCTCCCACTTTGGGTGCCTTGGGCCGCATGAGTTTACACTTGTCTCCCCCTTGTCTCCCACTCTGGTGCCTTGGGTTGCATGAGTTTACACTTGTCTCCCCCTTGTCTCCCACTCTGGGTGCCTTGGGCCGCATGAGTTTACACTTGTCACTCTGGGTGCCTTGGGCCGCATGAGTTTACACTTGTCACTCTGGGTGCCTTGGGCCGCATGAGTTTACACTTGTCTCCCACTTGTCTCGCACACTTGTCTCCCACTCTGGGTTCCTTGGGCCGCTGAGTTTACACTTGTCTCCCCCTTGTCTCCCACTCTGGGTGCCTTGGGCCGCATGAGTTTACACTTGTCTCCCCCTTGTCTCCCACTCTGGGTTTCTTGGGCCGCATGAGTTTACACTTGTCTCCCCCTTGTCTCCCGCACTTGTCTCTCACTCTGGGTGCCTTGGACCGCATGAGTTTACACTTGTCTCCCACTTGTCTCCCACACTTGTCTCCCACTCTGGGTTCCTTGGGCCACATGAGTTTACACTTGTCTCCCCCTTGTCTCCCACTCTGGGTGCCTTGGGCTGCATGAGTTTACACTTGTCTCCACACACTTGTCTCCCACACTTGTCCCCCCCCTGTCTCCCACTCTGGGAGCCTTGGGCCGCATGAGTTTACACTTGTCTCCCGCTTGTCTCCCACTCTGGGTGCCTTGGGCCGCATGAGTTTACACTTGTCTCCCCCCTGTCTCCCGCACTTGTCTCTCACTCTGGGTGCCTTGGGCCGCATGAGTTTACACTTGTCTTCCCCTTGTCTCCCACTCTGGGTGCCTTGGGCCGCATGAGTTTACACTTATCTCCCACTTGTCTCCCACACTTGTCTCCCACTTTGGGTTTCTTGGGCCGCATGAGTTTCCACCTGTCTCCCACACTTGTCTCCCACTCTGGGTGCCTTGGGCCAGATGAGTTTACACTTGTCTCCCCCTTGTCTCCCACTCTGGGTGCCTTGGGCCGCATGAGTTTACACTTGTCTCCCACATGTCTCCCACTTGTCGCCCACTTGTGTCCCACACTTGTCTCCCACTCTGGGTTCCTTGGGCCGCATGGGTTTACACTTGTCTCCCCCTTGTCTCCCCTTGTCTCCCACTCTGGGTGCCTTGGGCCGCATGAGTTTACGCTTGTCTCCCACACTTGTCTCCCACTCTGGGTTCCTTGGGCCGCATGAGTTTGCACTTCTCTCCCCCTTGTCTCCCACTCTGGGTTCCTTGGGCCGCATAAGTTTACACTTGTCTTCCCCTTGTCTCCCACTCTGGGTGCCTTGGGCCGCATGAGTTTACACTTGTCTCCCACACCTGTCTCCCACACTTGTCTCCCACTCTGGGTTCCATGGGCCGCCTTGTCTCTCACTCTGGGTGCCTTGGGCCGCATGAGTTTACACTTCTCGTCTCCCACACCTGTCTCCCACACTTGTGTCCCACTCTGGGCTCCTTGGGCCGCATGAGTTTACACTTGTCTCCCCCTTGTCTCCCACTCTGGGTGCCTTGGGCCGCATGAGTTTACACTTGTCTCCCCCTTGTCTCCCACTCTGGGTTCCTTGGGCCGCATGAGTTTACACTTGTCTCCCCCTTGTCTCCCACACTTGTCTCTCACTCTGGGTGCCTCGGGCCGCATGAGCTTACACATGTCTCCCACTTGTCTCCCACACCTTTCTCGCACACTTGTCTCCCACTCTGGGTTCCTTGGGCCGCATGAGTTTACACTTGTCTCCCCCTTGTCTCCGACTCGGGTGCCTTGGGCCGCATGAGTTTACACTTGTCGCCCACTTGTCCCCACACTTGTCTCCCACACTTGTCTCCCCCTTGTCTCCCACTCTGGGTTCCTTGGGCCGCATGAGTTTACACTTGTCTCCCCCTTGTCTCACACTCTGGGTGCCTTGGGCCGCATGAGTTTACACTTGTCTCCCCCTTGTCTCCCACTCTGGGTGCCTTGGGCCGCATGAGTTTACACTTGTCTCCCCCTTGTCTCCCACACTTGTCTCTCACTCTGGGCGCCCTGGGCCGCATGAGTTTACACTTGTCTCCCACTTGTCTCCCACACTTGTCTCCCACTCTGGGTTCCTTGTGCCGCATGAGTTTACACTTGTCTCCCCCTTGTCTCCCACTCTGGGTGCCTTGGGCCGCATGAGTTTACAGTTGTCTCCCCCTTGTCTCCCACACTTGTCTCTCACTCTGGGTGCCTTGGGCCGCATGAGTTTACACTTGTCTCCCACTTGTCCCCCACTTGTCTCCCACACTTGTCTCCCACTCTGGATTCGTTGCGCTGCATGAGTTTACACTTGTCTCCCCCTTGTCTCCCACTCTGGGTTCCTTGGGCCGCATGAGTTTACACTTGTCTCCCCCTTGTCTCCCACACTTGTCTCTCACTCTGGGTGCCTTGGGCCGCATGAGTTTATACTTGTCTCCCACTTGTCTCCCGCACTTGTCTCCCACTCTGGGTGCCTTGGGCCGCATGATTTTACACTTGTCTCCCACTTGTGCCTCACACTCGGGTGCCTTGGGCCGCATGAGTTTACACTTGTCACTTGTCTTCCACTTGTCTCCCACACTTGTCTCCCACTCTGGGTGTCTTGGAGCGCATGATTTCACACTCGTCTCCCACTTCGCTCCCACACTTGTCTTCCACACTTGTCTCCCACTCTGGGTGCCCTGGGCCGCATGAGTTTGCACTTGTCTCCCACTTGTCTCCCACACTTGTCTCCCACTCTGGGTGTCTTGGGCCGCATGATTTTACACTTGTCTCCCACTTGTCTCCCACTCTTGTCTCCCACACTTGTCTCCCACTCTGGGTTCCTTGGGCCGCATGAGTTTACACTTTTCTCCCTCTCCCACTCTGGGTGCCTTGGGCCGCATGAGTTTACAGTTGTCTTCCACTTGTGTCCCACACTTGTCTCTCACTCTGGGTGTCTTGGAGAGCATAGGTTTACACTTGTCTTCCACACTTGTCTCCCACACTTGTCTCCACACTTGTCTCTCACTCTGGGTTCCTTCGGCCGCATGAGTTTACACTTGTCTCCCCCTTGTCTCCCGCACTTGTCTCTCACTCTGGGTGCCTTCGGCCGCATGAGTTTACACTTGTCTCCCACTTGTCTCCCGCACTTGTCTCTCACTCTGGGTGCCTTGGGCCGCATGAGTTTACATTTGTCTCCCACTTGTCCCTCACACTTGGGTGCCTTGGGCCGCATGAGTTTACACTTGTCTCCCCCAGACACTTGTCTCTCACTCTGGGTGCCTTGGGCCGCATGAGTTTACACTTGTCTCCCACTTGTCTTCCACACTTGTCTCCCACTCTGGGTTTCTTGGGCCGCATGAGTTTACACTTGTCTCCCGCTTGTCTCCCACACTTGTCTCCCACTCTGGGTGTCTTGGGCCGCATGATTTTACACTTGTCTCCCACTCGTCTCCCACACGTGTCTCCCACTCTGGATGTCTTGGGGCGCATGCGTTTACACTTGTCTCCCACTTGTCTTCCACACTTGTCTCCCACACTTGTCTCTCACACTTGTCTCCCACACTTGTTTCCCACACTTGTTTCCCACACTTGTCTCCCACTCTGGGTTCCTTGGGCCGCATGAGTTTACACTTGTCTCCCACTTGTCTCCCACACTTGTCTCCGACTCTGGGTTCCTTGGGGCGCATGGGGCAGGGCGGGCAATAAATGCAGGGAAGGATGCCGAAATGATATCCTTGGCCGCAAACTAAAATATAATGGAGGTTTTCTTCATCTGTTTGGGGTCAACGCTGGTATAACTTAACCGTTGGTTTAACTGATGTTTATATTCAAAAATGTTTTAAGGCACTAGGGTCACCAAAAAACGGAAGGACCAATGGACCAGAGGACCAAGGGCCCAGAGGACCAAGGGCCCAGGACCGTGAGATTCAAATACCACAAGATTTGAAAAGGGTCAAACTCAAAACACCCCACCAGCGCAGAAAACATTGGTATTTATATTTTGAACCCCATGCAGCTTTCGAAAGCGGTGCAATCGGCATCCCGAATCTTTCAAAGATTTTCAGAGTGTCCTCCACCAAGTCGGCCAGGCCTTTGGTGAAGTCGGTCACATGCTTGGCCATTGCGAGCTTGGTCAAGCGAATGCATCAACTGGACCTATTGAGCTGTGAACTTTGGGCAATTTTATCGTGAGGAAACAAAAAAACATCACCCTTCTCTCCGCTGCAAAGAATTCCTGTAACTCTCGGACAGCAACAGTCCCAACCTTTGGCATCTACGCACAATTTGGCTTAGGGAATTCTGCGGAAGTATGTTAGATAGACTTTGAAAAATCCCGGCACTCGTATGCACTCATTTCATAGTTCGTGCATACAATCACGTTTGACTGCTTCCATGAACTCGACGTGAACTCGATGTATTGCAGATCTTGCATGAAAACCACACTGGAAATTAAATTGCGTAATACCTGGGATAGCCACTGAGATGTAGAACCTCAATACGTTATTAATTATATTGAATTCGGTATTGGTTGAGGATAGAATTTGTCTGCCTTCCTGGCTGAATGGGACGAGGGTGTGATGTTCGTACTGTCGCTTGATGGCGCTTCATTCTTTTGTGACAGCAAATAGAAAGAAATACAATTGCGCTGTGGTGAGAGCTGTTGGATTGCTCTTGTGCTGCTGAATTGGTGACGGCCAGATTCCGGCGTGAAGCATTGCTACACATCTTCAAACTTTAAACAGCAAGCTGGCTTGCATTCCTGCTTATCGAACAAGCATATTAATGCGCAAACTTGGGCCCTAAAAGGGGTCTACAACACGAACCACTGATCAAGAGCTTGGCACAGCTTGGCAATCAAGCATGCATGTTGAATGTGCTTCGGAGCTGATATCCCAAACCACCACCTTTCTATATCAAGTACTGGTAGTGCGTCAGGACTTTTTCTGAACCTGCTTGCCTGCTTTTAATGCTGCCTCATATTCCATCCTTAGAAAAGCATCTCACACCAGGACGCTTCTGAAGATCTGTTCTCCCAGCCCTCCAACCCCCCCTATCGGTGTCAAGAAATTGGTCACTTTCTCCCCACACGATCAGTTCACACAAGTCTTGAACAGGTGTCCACGTGGCATCATGACATGAGTAAATGATAGTAGTAATTCTGTACACAAGCCTTTTGCCCGCAGGCGGGGACCGATCTTGCTTGCGCACTCTTCAAAGCAGGTGGCTCGATAGCAGAGCTTCGATCTGACGCTGGATAATCAAATCTGCCTGCCAGAAAAATCAAAGCTGCATTACATGCCGTGCCTTACACACCATGACATCTTCCACAGACGCAGGTAAGCTGCTGGCATTCGCGTCACACTTTCTCGTGCGTCCAGACCTCCGGCAAGCAACATCCCCAGCAACGACCCGCCGGCAACGAGCAGCGCTGCGTCACGAGTCACTGACAGTCAGACAATCAATGGCAGCCATTGACAGTCACTGACAGTCACCGTCACGCCGTCACGCGTCTTTCATCTGAATCCACATCACTGCATAGCACTACTCAGCCCAGCACTTCTTTTTGGAACAACCGAGACGCTTGCCCTCAGACTAGGCTGAGCAAATGACATGTGCACGCCCATGCAAATTAAAAATACCTCATGATTTGGCACTATAATGGCACTTGCCTTCGCTGTCAGCCAGCGCCGAGATTGCTCCTGCCCATACAAAGAGGTTGCAAGCCATGCGCAGAAGTCTATCTAGGACCCAAACTCTACGCCTGGTACAGCAGGAAGGCGTAGCTGCTAATTTCTTCAGCAAAGAATCAAAGAAGCACAACCAAGCAACTCTTGCGAAGGAAGGAGGGAGGTACTCTGTAGAATCCATCATATCAAACACTTTGCCATGATTCCTCCAGCCAAATCGAAGAAGAGTCGCTCTACTCTGGAAAAGCAAATGCCATGCAGCTTGTCCCACACAACAACTAGCCACGGTCCCTGCCATCCAAGCTTTGCCTGCAATTTGGAGGCTCTTTCCCGATCGAGAAGTTCAAGCCTTCACACACAAACGAACTGGCAGTATTTCACACGTTTTACACAGGAAAGATTGAAAATGATTGCAAATCAATCTCCGCTTCTTTTTTGTCCAACCTATCCAACACGGATTGCTTTTTGCATCCAGCTTCCACCATGACATCCAAGTATTCACCTGCGCACATTCTGAACGTTGACTCTGCAAGAACAAAATCAACTTAATCAACTTTAAAAAAAATGCGTCTTTCTTTCCATTCTTTCCAGCTGGGGAAGTTGGGGAAGTCCTCGGATTTGCGTCCACTGTTCGTCCAAGTCCACTGTGTTCACCTTGGACCGAGGGATTGTTTCAACACGTCCGCCATGACGGCCATGACCGTGAACAAATCTGGGAATGCTGCTGCCCGTAGCACATAGTTCCGAACAGAACCTCGCGCCTCTGCAGATGTATGTGTGAAAACAAGCGACGCAAGCTTTCAAGATCCATTTGACTGCAATGATTTGACACGTGGGTTTGTCTTGGTTGAAGCTATGCAGGGACTCTGAAAGCAACAAATTCTTGGAATGGCAAGTATCAATCGCATTTTGCATGTCTATGTTTCTCTCGGCAGGTTGGAGCATGCTTGCCAAACACTTGAAACCCCACCTTGCGAAGTCGATGTAAAGCCTCCCGAACATTTGGAAACCATATTAACTTAAAGTTAAAGATCGAGGCGCTCACGGCTTGATCTCGCCCTGACAAGGCGGGAAGAAATGTGATGAACCATGAAGCAATCTGGCCCGTCTCCTGCAAGCCGTTGTCCAGCTGAGACGCAACTAAATATGCCTCGTATTTTCAGCCGATTCAAAATGGAGTGATGTGAATCACAAGAGCTGCAAAATGGGTTTGGGAAAATGAGCTGCACACAGGTGTTCGCAAAGGAGTTTTCATCCAAAGGACGCGCAAGCTCACAATGAACTTGAGACCTTGCTGCTTACATCACCATAGGGGGAAAAATATATGTTTCCGGTACACATTCAACAAATGCGAGGACCAAAGCTTCATCACCGACCGGTGTGAACTGCAAATATTATGTTTATGTCAGGCAGCCACTGGAAATCGTGTTTGTTTCATGTGTTTCTTATTTTTCAATTCATTGTTTTTCCTTTTTCATTGTTTTTTCATGGTTTGTATTTTGTTGGCATGTTTTATCGCGTTGGCTACGTTGCCTCCGGTTACCTCTAGAATTGTCCCAAAACGATTTTAAAAAAAAACGACAAGGGCTCGAGGGAAAAATGTTTTTGGCAATTCTCCAGGACAATTTTAAATGCAAAAGCAAGAATCTAGCCAAAATGAGGGGAAAAACGAAAAAAGGTTCGAGAAAAAATTGTTTTTGGCAATTCTCCACGACAATTCTAGAGGCAAAAGCATGAAAAAACTCCAACAGGATTGAAAAAATGAAAATGATAAAAAAAAAAAAAAGTTCGAGAAAAAGTTCCTTGTGGCGATTCTCCGCGACGATTCTAGAGGTAAAAAGAGCACAAATAGCCAACACGACGCGAAAGTATGCACAGCTGTTTAGTAGTGTTTAGTAAGAGCTAGTGACACATGCTACCATTTTATTGGGAACGTACAAGTATCACTGTAGCACCCCGCTAAAAGAAAAAACCATCTTCAAAAGATTGAACATGTCAAACTGCTGTGCACCCTTTCCTCCTGAGCTCCGCAGCCCATGGACTCAGGATCGGCTTTGAACTCCGAGAAGGTTGAGCTTAAAGCAGCGCGAAACCTTCGAGCCACAAACACATCTGCACAGCAGCTGTGGCACCTGAAGGTGGCCATGTTTTATAAAGAACATCCAAAATCTGGTAAAGCAATTCAAATTGCGGAAGCTTTCAAATTGGCGCGCATCAGGTGCGCCAACGTCATGTTACAAAAATGTCTCGAAGATGTAGTAGTGTGCTGCTAGAGAAGGCACATGAATCCACATGAATTGGTCCCTTGCTGTTATCTATTTGTTTGTTTATTATTTTTTTTAGTTTAGTTATTTATTTACTGTATGTATATATATACATAATGATATGTAGCTGATACGCATAGCTAACGGCATTTATCACCTCTGGGCTTGAAGTCCCTGGTTTATCTCCAAGCCTTGCTTCGAAGTTTCCACGGAGGAAACTTGTTCGTTGCTTGATGACCTTAACATCAGAACAACCGCTAACGGCAAACAACATGACTCTGTCTGCAAGGAAGTTTGCATCTGGGGCCGCCACAACCAGGATTGAATGAAAGGTGAGTGCCACCTGCGCGGTCCCACCAAGACTTTGCAGTTTCTTCTGAATTAAGAGAAGTCAGAAGGCGAAACCATGTGAAGCATATGGAAAGAAACGGAATCAGTCAGAAGCTGACGCTCCTTGCAAACATTGTTTCCAACTGAGCATTTAGAAACTGTCAGCTGCAATGTTTTAGAGTGTTTCAGGTCTGCTCTAAAACATGCCAGAAATACGGGAAGTAATTGTTCGAACTCGAACGCTACTAATTATACAATTTCCTGAACTCTGTCACATTCTCCAGCTCCTCTAATGAGAGCATAGTTAGTTGGGAGAAAAAAAACCTGAGCAAGATCTTTTGACTTTCTTTTCTGGTTCGCAGAGCATTTCCACGAATATGCACTACCTGAACGCCTGTCTCGGCACAATTGCTTCCTTGATTTGGGATCTTTGCTTTCCTTCCAGCAAACCACCCTGCACCACTGCAGGGTATGGTTGCTGGAATAAACTCCAACGTATGCGTACCCAAAAGGCAGAAACCATCATAAGCCGCCCATCGGCAATGCATTACCAACGACGCCTATACCTACGCGGTGTTTTCTCATAGTTTCTCTCAAGAAATAAAGGCTACTCTCGAAACTAGACCGCAGAGCATACCCGAAACCCATCATGCATGCATCCAAGTTGTTTATTTTGCGAAGATCCCGGTCACAATCTGCACAAAAGAGGAAAACAGTTCTGTTCATTCAAGTAAGCGGTTGAATTTGTTTTTGAAGTTGGTTCGTCAATCTCGAAATAAGGCATTTTTGAAATTCTGAATTTTCAACCAAATGACATGACCTGAGTTCAACGTAGTCGAACCTGTTTGTATTTCAAAACAGACGCGAACAACATTTCCCGATCCAACGTCTTACTACGCATCAAACAAAACCACATTTCCCAAGACTACTTTGTGTATTAGGAAATAACGGACAAGTATTTCCCAACATTTTTTCATACTACAAAATCAGAGTAAAAGTGCTCTCCGACACTTCAGTCTATAAAACGAGGAAAATTTTGTCCCAATGCCCAAAACTACTCCGTACTACAAACCAAAGAAAAATGCCACCCCAACACTACATCGCCCTACAAAACCAACAAAAACATTCCCGGCAGCAACGCGAACACAGAATTATCCAGGCAAGAGGCCCCAAAACAGTGTTGCAAGGAACATGACGAAGAGATACCAGGGTAGATTCTGCAAGTTCCCTGTGTGAAGATTTCTGTCGAAGATCGCGTACAAGATCCCCCTGACAGGTTCTCTGTCGAAGCTGCTGTACAAAATCCCTGTGTAATGCTATCTGTACAAAGTGTCTATGAGATCTCCCCGCAAAATCTCTGTAAAAGGTCTCTAAGTAACATCTCTGCTCAACCCACAAGGTCTCGTTACAAGATCTCTACATGAGGTCTCCTGGCAAGATCCCCGTACAAGCTCTCTAAAAAGCATCTCCCGGCAAGATCTCTGTAAGAGACCTCTGAATAAGATCTCTGCCCAAGCTTTCTGCACAAGCTCTCTATACGAGATCTCGTGGCAAGATCTCTGAAGAGACCTCTTGGCCCCTTAGCAAGAGCTGTGCAAGAGATCTCTGTTGGTCTCCGTGCAAGATCTCTGTAAGAAGTCTTGTGGCAATATCTCAGTAGAAGAGGTCTTTTTAAGAGATCTCTTAGCAAGACCTAAGTAAGAGACCTCTTGGCAAGATGACTGCAGCAGATCTCTATGCAAGGTCTTCGTACAAGATCTCTTTTTTTTTCCAAGTGCAGACTCACAAAAAGTCTGTGCACCGAACCTAAGCCAGTATCAGTGTTCAAAAAACAACCAGTTCAAAGAGAAGGCTCAGGAGAACGAATTGGACGAACAGCAGAGCTAACTACGGGCTAGCCTTCCTCGTGACAATGAGCCGCAGGTAGTATAGAAGACGGGTGTGGATAAAAATAGTAGGTAATTTACAGTGCAAATAAAGAAACAGTCAAAGGACAAGAACTGTATATTCGATAGTTGAAACGAGTCACCATCAGAGTTTTTGACCTATCTTTCATGGTATGTGAATGCAATTGGTGACGACATTCGGTGAAGACATTGTTGACGGCATTCGTACAAGATCTCTATAAAGGGTTTCTTGGCAACATCTCTTCAAGAGATCTCTGTACAAGCTCTCTATAGCAGTGCTCATTTTGATATCGCTCGCGCAACCCTCTCGACACCTTGTCTTGTGCGTGTCAGGTCGCTCTCGCTGTGGTGCGGGGCACGCTTTGAAACTTTGAGATCATCCACACAAGCCTCTCGGCACTTTGGGCGTGTCAGATCGCTCTCGTTATGGCGCGGTGCCCGTTTTGAGATCGCTCACACAACCCTCTCGGCTTTGGGCGTGTCAGATCGCTCTCGTTGTGGCTCGGTGCTGGTTCTGTCCAGGAGACCTTGTACAGGGATTTGACAAGGAAATCTTTTATAGAGAGCTTGCATAGAGATCTTGACAAGAGATCTCTTGTAGAGAGCTTGCGCACAGATCTTGCCAGGAGACCTGTTGTAGCGATCTCCTACACGGACCTTGCATAGAGATCTGTCGCAGAGATCTTGCCAAGAGGTCTCTTACATAGACCTTGCCATGAGCCCTTGTTTTTGAGAGCTTGTTCAGGCATCTCATGAAGAGATCTTGCCAAGAGACCTCTTTTAGAGATCTTGCACAGGGACTGCATAGAGATCTGCTGCAGGTATCTTGCCAAGAGGTCTCTTACTTAGATCTTGCTAAGAGATCTCTTTTAGAGACCTCTTGCACAGAGGTCTTGCCAAGAGATCTTGCGGGGACACCGCCTATAGAGATCTTGCACAGAGACCTTGCATGGAGATCTCCTGCAGGGATCTTGCCAAGAGGTCTCTTGCAGAGATAGCGGCGCCGCAACGAGAGCGACCTGACACGAGAGTTGTCAAAACGATGTTTTTTGGTTGTACCTTGGTTGTACCTTGGTTTCAGCCACTTTTTGTCGAGGTCTCTGAAGTACTGCCCCTGCCAGGAAAAATGACCAAAGTAGCGGTAGCGGGGTGCCACACACAATCATCATCAGCATCGTTTCTCAAACCCCAACGACGACAATTTCACAAAACAAGACTTGCGAGGCCTTGACACGTCCTCCAAATTCACCAAGTACTACGCCTGCCACGAAAAATTGCCTCTGCAAGCACCTCTGATTTCGACTCATGACTGCCAACGTGTTGGCAACTTTAAGAAAGCGTCACACCTGCCAAGCGAATGAAAAAGCTGCCGATGCCCTGCGCCTGTCATTCAAAAGGACGAAATGCCCCGAAAGCCCGACGCCTGCCACATAAAATGGACATAGGTTCGGTGGTCTCCGGGACACCATTTCGTGCGAGCCTTCCTTCGAAAACGGAAGATCGAGGAACTTTTGCGCTGTAAGGGTCACCAAATTTGCCGGACCCGCCGACCCGAACCCAGAATCGAAACCATGCCTTAAGCCTTACCGTAAGGACCCTAAGTGTGACCACACTGTTTAAGGAATGGTTCCGATGCTACTTGGATACAACAAAACCAACAAAAGCCAGGTCCCAATACTACTTCGTACTACGAAGCTCAAAATTACATCGGCAAGAGACCCCAAACAGTGTGGGGGGTAGGAAGTCCATGTACCAGATACCATCAACAGTAGCTATGGAACAGTGACAAATCAGGTTAGACATTCTCGGAAATGCAGCAGCCGGAACTTGTATTGGCCCAAGAAGCAACATACTCATCAGGACCCCATACCAGAACCCTCATACCAGGACATCTAAGAGAATATCAAAAGATCGTCAGAGAGGGCCTTCTATATACAGGATCTTAGAAGATCTTCACACAAGAACTTCCTATGAACATCCCAGAAAAACTTTCACACAAGCACCAACGCAGAGCATCTTCAAGGTCTTAATGCAAGGACCTCTTGAGAAGGATTTCAACCGGATATGCCCTAGAGGTTTTCAATAGGACCCCTTCAAGATCTTCTCACAAGGACCTGTACAAGATCATGCTAAAGCCTTCGACCGCATTTCACTGGGATCTCCACAGGTTCTTGTCACAAGGACGTGCGAAAAAAAACTTGACCAAGATCTTCATGCCAGGACCCTAAAAGAATGTCACAAGATCGTCAAAAAAGGACCTGCTGCTGCTGGAGCGGATCTTACAAGATCTTGATACAAGAACCTCCCAAGAGCCTCCCACAAGAGCTTTCATACAAGCACCTCTGAGACATGGCATCTGCAAGATCTTCACGCAAGGACCTCAAACAAAGGATATCACCAGAAGGACCTCACCAGGGTCTCCACAAGATCTTCTGACAAGGACCTGGAAAAGATGGAAAAGATCATGCAAGGACCAAGGCCGGGACAACCGTTTTGTGAGAGCCCCCGCAGTCAAAACGCACATGGACATGTCCCAAGAGCCATTTTATGCCAGAATTTACAGAAAAATGACGCCCCAAGATTGTGCCGCGTGCGAGCCTGCGCAGTCGACATGCACATGGACATGTCACAAGAGCAACTTTATGCGAGAATTTACAGGAAAAAAGCCGGGGAACAGATGGAGCACCCTGATCAAGCACTGGCCTTAACTCTTGCCGTAAGAACCCCTCAGTGTGAAGACGGAGTGTTTGGGGAAAAAACGCCTTGCAATACAAACAAAGACCCGCACGAGGCTGGTGGCGGAAGATGCGTTCCCATAGGGGTGAGGGCAAGGTTTTGCCTATAGGATTTGCAGTGATGTTTCAACGTCAAGGCAGTTTGCATGTTGTGTTTCAATTAACGTTCTGCGCAAGACATCGTTGTTGAGTCACCGCTGCTTTGGACAACGCACTTGCGGTGAGAAACCCAGTGTCAGTTGACATTCTTTCTGTTGACGTCGCTTTCACTCGACATCTCTTTCTCGGGCATCTTTTCTTTTGCCGCTGCTTTCTCTTGTCCCAACTTGTTCTCTGGACATCTCTTTCTCTTGGCTCCCCTTCTCTTGATACGCGTTTTTCTTCAAACCTCTTTCTCTGGAAACTGCTTTCTTTTGAAATCTCTTTCCCGTTCCTCTTGACAGCTCTGTCCGACATTACCGCTGTCTTGACACCACTTTCTTTTGACCCAGTTTTCTCTTGGCATCTCTTGATCTGGACAAGTCTTTCTCTTGGTGTCTCTTTCTCTTGACAGCCAGGCACATTTGATAACGCAAAGTCGCACACCCAGAAAGTTAAGTAGCACATCTTGCAAAGTAATGCACCTCGTGCAAACATACATCTTAAAGGTTCTATATAAGTGATCTTGCAAGGTCATGCATCTCAAACAAACACATTCAACGGATTTCAAAGGTCGTCTCATGTAGCGGGTCTCATGTAGCGGGTCTCATGTAGCCATACTGCTCGTCACATTCATGTAGTCTATATCGCGTAGTACCATGCAAGTCGCATCTTCAAATTTAAGGTTGTCTCATGCAGTCTGTGTCACGTCGTGCCATGCAAGTCACATTTTCACATATCATATAAGGTTGCGTCATGTAAACTTCGTCATGTTGTGCCATGCAAGAAGGGGAAGGAAGATGCCCACCCCCTTCGCCAAGTCTTTCGGCAACGCAAGAGGCATTCCAAGATAGAACCGTAGCGCTTGCCTACGGCTCACACACTCTCAGGCAACTGGACCCTCGCCTCCAGGCTGCCAACTGTCCTGGTAACCAATCTCAAACCCTCGACTGCTGCAGACGCCATGTAGTATCGGTACCTCCAAATCCATGTCAATCACAGGATACAAAAGGACAATGGCCGAAGCACAACCAACTCACGAGTCTATGCACGAAAAAACACCTTGGAACACCTGCCGCCATTTGGCCGACTGCACATCATCAAAAGCATCAGCTATGCCGCAGCTTTACCTGAGAAGCCCACTTGTTCTGCCGTGTCACTCGCCTCAGGAGTGCCCGGTGCTTCTGAGGTATGCACGCGCATAAAAAGCCCACAAATTCCTTCACTTCCTTCTCTTCCTCTTGGCAATTGGTCATTGGTCAGTTGGTCATTGTCGCTTGGATGGTCTCCTCTGCAACTCCGCCATCTTTGCCTCTCCGTCTCTTCAACCCCATCTCACTGTAGTGTCTCTGCGTGATTCGGTGGGTGGGTGTGTGTGTGTGTGCGCGCCCTGCGTTGCACACGTGCGCAGGACAACTGCAGCAAAAACTGGACCTGTCGACAGATCTGGGTCCAAGCCACACCACACTTTGTACTCTTCTGCGGGTGGCTTTGGAGCTGCGCGAGACCCTAGGCAGATCTAACTAAAGCATGGTAAAACACCAAAGCAACATGAACTGCAATATGAATTTCGTGATTCCGTCCAACCATCTTGAACCAATAGAACCACCCCATGAACTTCAGGTCCACAGACATTTGCCTTGAGTTGGGCCCGCGGACCTGTCAGTGCCACGGCTTCGTTTTGCTTGGCTTTTCGAAAGGGATTGGTCATTTTTGATCTATCGGACCCAGGGCAGACTCTCTTGCTGATTAATTTCACAGCCAACCTGCTTTGTCACTGGCCGCGCCAGCATCCACCTTGCCGAAACATAGGCAAACGATGCGAGCAAACTAAGCTGCGCAACTTACCCAACTCAAACCTGAGAAATGCATTGCATCTGCTTGGATTGGCACATGGTTCTGCTGGTGATCTGACCCAGGTCCGTGCTGTAAGCTTTTGCCTCTCTATGACTCTATGACTTTCACAGCTTTCGCTGTAAGTTTTCACAGTTTTCGCCACTCCCTTCGTGATCAGCTGCGTGCCTCTCAAGCTGCAAGCGTTGCTGCTGCGAAAAGCACTGCTGCCTGGCACACTGACAGACTGCAACGCATCCTTAAAACAACACGACACCCCTTCTTGTTTGAAAGGTGGTGGGCCGCAATACGTTCCCCTTGCGAGCAACCACACTGGGAACCATTAGAAACTTGCGAGGGGGGGCCATGAGGGATTGATTAGGTGATTCATCGACTAGTTGATTGACGGATTGGCGAGTTGGTTGACCAACTGATTGGTTGCTTTCTTGTTTGCTTGCCTGTTTTGTTGTGTGAAACGCGAGCATGTTCCCGATATTCGAGATACGACCTGAATTTTGTGATAAACTTGAGCTGGACTTGACTCAATTGAGAGAGCTTGGCATGGCTAAGAGACTGGGAACTTCACGGACTCTGGGACTTGATGCACAACCCTGTAAACCACTGGGCTGGGGATTGCTCAGCATGCCCCAGAACGGAAAAATTGCAGAAAGTTGGCAGCAGGGGGGGTTCCCAGAACATACCACTGCTATCCAGTGTTAATTACAGGCGGGTTTCAGCAAGACTATGTTTCATGTGGTTCTGCTATATATTATAATATATTATGATATATTATAATATAATATAATATCATATCATATCATATCATATAATATAGTAATATAATTATGAAAAAACAGAGTACATGTTATAGTGATATAGAACGAAAGAATGTAACCTAACCTAATTTAATATAATGTTATATTATATGAAATGATATAATATGATATGATACAATAAAAAGCAATAAATATAATATAATATAATATAGTATAGTATAATATCAAATAGTATAGTATAATATCATATAGTATAGTATTTTAAAAAATATAATATAGAGTAGAACATCACAAATATAATATGAAAAATGATATAGTATGATAAAACAAAAATGACTTAGTTTGATTCACGAAACAAATATGTTTAAAACAAAACGATATAATTTAGTTTAACATAGCACAATGCAATTAAAAAACACCAACACAATAAGATTTATATATATAACATCAGATCATACCAAATAAACCAAGATGATTTGATAGAATATAAGATAACATTATTTATTGCGGCATTATTTAATACAACACCATACCGTACAAAAAATGACGCACTATTAAAAATGATGTACTTTGATTTATTGTAATATAACAAATATAGTGAGCGAAAATACAAAAACAAAAAGGATATTGTAACATAATAAGGGATAATATGATATAATATAGAATAGCGTAATTACAAAAAAAAACTTGATTTTAAAAAGATTATATATATATATAAATGAAGAAGAAATTGGTCTAATATGATATCTTCGGGAAATATAATACAAATTGATATGACATAATATAAAACAAAATAAAATAGCATAACAATATACCATACAAAAAAATATACCGTAATACCAGTAGTACCGCACAAGGCGGTGGCGGAAGTTTCAAAAATAGGAAAAACCTATAGGAGAGGTTGGTTGTTGTGAAGCACAGATGGCCGAGAGAATCCACTGATGGGCCGAAAGGTGGTTGAAGCTGTGTTTTTTTGGGGCGGTTGCAATGGTTGCAGTGGTCACCTCACCCACAACTGCTGGATGTAGCGTGGTGTAATGCAGTTGTAGTTGTAGTTGCAGGGTGGTGTAGCGGAGTTGAGTGTAGTGTAGTTGCAGTTGCAGTTGTAGCTGTGGTGGGGTGTAATTACTGTAGTGTACTGTAGTGTACTGTAGTGTACTGTAGTGTTGTGTACTGTAGTGTGGTATAGTGTAGTGTAGTCTAGTGTAGTGTAGTGGAAGGTAGTGTAGTTGTAGTTGTAGCGTCGTGTAGTGCGATGTAGTGGTAGTTACAATTGTAGTTGCAGCTGCGGTTGTAGCTGTAGCTGTCGCGTAATGTAATGGAATTAGTGTAGTGTAGTGTAGTGTTGTGTAATGTAGCGCAGTTGTAGTTGCATTTGTATTTGTAGTTGTAATGTGCTGCAGTGTAATTAGTGCAGTGCAGTGTAATGTAATGTGGTGTAGTTGATATTGTTGTCGTCGCTGTGGTAGAAGCAGTTCTTGTAATTGTAGTGTAATTAGTATAGTGTAGTGTAGTGTACTTAGATGCAATTGGTGTAGTGTAGTGTAGTTAGTCTAGTGTAATGTAGGGTAGTTTATTTGTATCTGTAGTAGTAGTTGTTGTGGTGTTGTAGTAGTAGTAGTAGTAGTAGTAGTGGTAGTGGTAGTGGTAGTGGTAGTGGTAGTGGTAGTGGTAGTGGTAGTAGTAGTTGTTGTTGTTGTTGTTGCTGTTGTTGTAGTGGTTGTTGTTGTTGTTGTAGTTGTAGTTGTAGTTGTCGTTGTCGTTGTCGTTGTCGTAGTCGTAGTCGTAGTCGTAGGAGTAGTAGTAGTAGTAGTAGTAGTAGCAGCAGCAGCAGCAGTAGTAGTAGTTGTGGTGTGGTGTAGTGTAGTGTAGTGTACTGTACTGTAGTGTAGTGTAGTGTAGTGTATTGTAGTGTAGTGTAGCGTAGTGTAGTGGTAGTGGTAGTGGTAGTGGTAGTGGTAGTGGTAGTTGTAGTTGTAGTTGTAGTTGTCTGTCTGTCTGTCTGTCTATCTGCAATCTGCAAGCTTGAAAACGAAGCTATTCTACGAGACTTCCTCAACTTTTGTACTTGCTAACGTCAAAAACGAAGCAATTCTACGAAACTTCCTCAACTTTTGTACTTGCTAACGTCAAAAACGAAGCAATTCTGCGAGACTTCCTCAATTTCTGAAGTTGGCAACATCAAAAATGAAGCAATACTGCGAGACTTCCTTCAATAAGGACGAGACTTCCTTCAATAAGGACGAGACTTCCTTCAATAATGGAAAGTTGAATGCAGAGCTGACGTTCCAGCCCATGTCTCTGAAGTATTGCGCCTGTCACGAAAAAGTGATGCCAGATCATACAAAGTGCTGCACCTGTCACACAAAATCATCTTCCCGAAACTGAAGATCTGATGCTCCAAAATGCAACCCTCTCAGGAAATCAGCGCCCTGACCTCCTAACATCTCTGATGAACATGTCTCTTGTACTGCGCCTGCTATGGAAAATGCATCTTCCCAGATCCTCTTCAAATGTCCCACGCCTGCCATGGTTTTTAGAAAACCCTCACGCTTTGCTCACTTTTGAAAAGGTGCACAATCCCTAATGCCGGCCACGCAAAACCACATCTGAACGTCCAAAAGTGCATGGTGTGTTTTGCACATTTTGACCTCGATATGTGCTTCGCGCTACAACAGCGTGCACTTTTTCGACATCTCAACTTCCAAAAGCGGTCCGAGACCGTCAGTTTTTAACACGTTTAACTTCGAAACGTGCTTCGCACCACAACGGCGTGCACTTTATCGACATCTCAACTTCCGAAGCTGAGGTGTTTTGTACATTTTGACTTCGGAATGTGCTTCGGGCGACAACGGCGTGCAGTTTTTCATCTCTCATCTAACCAGATGGCTCCGCACCCGCCGCTTTAGCGAGCCTACTTTTCGATCCTCCGGAGCCACAAATCATTGGAAAAACACAGTGTTTCGCGACTTTGCTACCTTTTCGCGCCCCTGCATCTTCTTTCTCCTCACTCTTTCTCTTCTCTGATCTTCTCTCTTCTGCTCTTCTCCTCTCTGACTCTTCCCACCTCTGCTTTTCCATCTGTCCATTTTGTCGGAAGTTTGACTTCTAAACTTCCTTCGATAATATTGTATCATGAAATAGTTTAATATGATATAATATGAAAAATACAATATATATAATTTTATTGGGGAACAAGAAGGGCTTATACAATCTTTATATATTCCAGCGCCACTGCTCGATTCAATCATGCTTGCAAAACCAATGAACACATGTAAGGTGCTCTGCAGCAGCACTTGACACTTAATCCGACCACGCCAGACACGGGACATGGGTCACTACATAGAGTATCATAGAGTGTGTCGTAGTCTCGTATGAAAATAATGGCGGCGCGGCAGCTACGCACGTGCAATAGCAACTCAAGGACCATTGCAAAGCAAAGTCAGCAGCTTCCGAAACATGGTGAGTACTCCAAAACTGCCAAAGAGGATCCAAAAGGAATGTCCAAACACGCAAGAAATACACCCAATCGGGAAAGTCAGCGCACCGTCTCTTTGAATCACAAATCACCATGGGACGCCACGCATTCGGGAAGTCAGCGAAGTCAGTGCAAAATCATGCAAATCAGCATGGGGCGCTGTGCGCCAGCAATCATCTATTTCGTTTGTTTAATGTTCGGTGTTTTTTATGGCTCTAAAATTCGGAATCATATTGTGGACGCTGCATCTATGCAGTCATTGTTTTAGGTTATGTTGAATGATTTTGTTGAAAAACGCAATGGGACGCAAGTTCCACCACAACTACAGTCAAAGCGAAGCGACTTGCATCCAAACAAACAGACAAGCCTCCCGCGCTAGGCACAGCCTGAGGCCTATAGGCTCATGGCCAAGGTGCAAACCCGGTCATGACTGGCACGTGCCGAGCAGGCGCATTAGCACATCGCCCTGCTCTCATGGCGAGCGTTAACCGTTGGCCTCAAGCACGCAAGGCTGTTGCCACCCCGATCGCCCGGCCAGTGACAGCTGCTGCGTGTGCCCCTTGTGGCGCACGCAGCTCGGTAGTGGGAAGGTAAGCAGCAGCAACAGCAGCAGCAGGACCAGCAGAACCAGCAGCAGTAGCAGCAGCAACGACAAGACAAGACAAGGCAAGACAAGGCAAGCAACTCACGTATTTCCGGCGATACTCTGGTGATACGCCGGCGATACCCTAAAGTGGAAAAAAAGAACCCCTCGCCACCAATCCCCGTCATCATGTCAACACAACCACATCTCCAAATTTCAAAGTGACAAAACCCAATGCGATCAAATTCCCCATGGTACTGACACAATAGGTAAATTCCAAACTTGCAAAAACGCAGGAAAAAGTATCAATAATCAAAATCATATTTTCCAAACACAAGCTGGACGCAGCACGCATCGACTTCCACAATTCTTTCCCCCCAACTAAATGCAGCAAAACATGTGAAGGCATTGAGCTTCCAAGTGGAGAGTAGAAGGGGCTGAACACACCACACAAACACATTCTTCCAGTCACAATCTGGACTAATTGCCGCTACACATTTGGCACAAATGTCATCTCGAAACCAACAAACAAATCCAATGATATCCAACAAAATGACAAGGGTTGAAAAATCGTATGATGTCGTACCATCTGACAGATATGACTGTTGACAGGGTTGGTTAGGCGACTTATTGAACAGCAAAGCATCGGCTTGACTGTTACAGGTTGATTGTAAAAGCTGGGGTGAAGGACTTTCACAATCATTTCACATATTTCAATAGCCGGGCTTGCAGGACGAATTGACGTCTATCTGCTGGCAGACTGGAGAGGAGCTTGCACAGGCGAGGCCTTGGAATCTTATCTTCCTGTACTTCGCCGATGATATGAAAACGGCAACATCAAATATCCAGGGTTGGCAACTGCAGCTACATATCATTGCAGTTGATTGCACATATTAGGCATATATCGATGCAGCCTTTCCATTTCAAACAGCGGCTCAGCGCCTGACAGCGTTGACCCAGCGCTTGTTCTCTTCCAGACCCACTGAATCGCATTCGGCACATGGGGTTCATGGCCCCGCGCTCCCAGCGGTTCCTGATCTGCAAGCGCATGCCTTAGCGCAATGGTTTGACATTTAAGTTCAAGGGATTAAGATACAGGGATCAAACATACGCACAGAAGGATAGACTCCGAAGCCTACGCCCCATACGAAATCCATCTTGTATACGCGGCCACTGGTTGCATGCCTCACTTTGAGTTTGATGCTTTTTTCGAACCAGACTGCGCCGCTCACGCTGCTCGCATAGCATCTCAAATGCGTGTAAAACCTGAGGTCACAAGTTTCTGGATATTCAAAAACAACGCTAATTCTTCACACAATGCTTCTTGTTGGTGGCCTCATCATTATGAGCACATCAACCCTACAAACACCAACTCTGAAACCGGCGCCTCCTGAAGCTGGAAATCAGAACCTGCCAGCTCCAACTCTTTGCAGGATCAGCATCCAAGGACAAGAACAATGGCCTCCGCTGTCTGGATGTGCGCGAAGGGCAGAAGTAAGGAAAGCCTCGAAAAAGACTACGATATGCCAAGGTATGCCGTTTGTGCTGGCTCATTTCATCAACGCTCTTGCATCTCGGCGATTTTGGACAACGAAGGTTTCCTATCTGCAACCAATTATATAATTTCATGAAACAATCTTTCTTTCACACATTCTGGAGATCCACGTTATCCAACCCTTGAAGCCTCATGGATTTCCTTGCTTGTTGCCACCGGCATAATGCCTACCAGCCAAATTTCAAGCCAACTACTGGCAGAAGCTGGCCCAAACGCAACATCTGTCAGTAATGCAAAATTTACTCTTTGAGATATTCTTGGCTGCGTTATGTGTTTAGTCATGACGCTGGTTTGCATCTTACTATTTCACTTCTGTCCCCAGCAGTTTGCAGCCAGAAAAAGCCAACTGCTGGGTTCCATATATGCTAGCTAGCATTGGTCATGGTTGATCCATGCATACAAAAAGCGCGACTGTATGAATAAAAGTGGTGTGGGCTGAAGGGATCCCCTCTGCTGTGTGAATCTATGCCGCATTCTTTACAACATTTTCAAGGTGCATTGGCAAAATTGTTGTGACCTGGTTTATTGCGGTCTTCCCACCGGACCAGGGTTTTCCCCACTTTCCGGACTTCTTAGTTTGTGGAGCAGGTAGAGGTACTGACCCATTCTGATTGGCAGTGTCTCTAATACATGAATGAAAGTCTGTGATGCAAACTTTCTGTTGCACAATCCAACCCCGTTTCCAAAGGCACAATTGTTGTACAGGTCGCAAGGTCGCAAATATTCTCCAAGTGGGTCTTTACCGATATACATATAGCTCTTCGGGGGTGACAGATTTAGCCCCTTCATGTTTATTGTTTTCCAAAGTAAACCCATTGGTATACCCGTCTACATATTGCTGTAGAGGGGTGGTAGATTTACACCTGTAATTTATGTGGTTCCCCAAACAGTGTGGCCACACATGGGGCTCTTATGGTAGTGGTTGAGGCGTGGTTTCGATTCAGGGTTCGTCCGGCAAATTTGGTGACCCTTACAGCACAAAGTTTCCTCAATCTTTCCGTTTTCCAAAGAAGTCTCGCACGAAATGGTGTTCCCGGAGACCGCCGAAGGTCTACTTTTACCGGCGCGCCGTACTCGTTTTTTGACCCATGTCCATTTTATGTGGCAGGCGTAGGACACGCGGGACATTTTGAGGTCTGGTTTGTGGCAGGTGCAATGCTTGGCGATGTTTTCAAAAGCTCGGGAGTCTCGTTTTGTGAACCTGTTGTCATTTTTGATTTGGGACATGATGATGATTCCGTGTGGCAGGTGCTGCACTTCGAATGCCTGGAGCTCATTTTTCGTGGCAAACGCAATACTTCAAAGACTTCGACTAAAAGGTGGCTGAAACCTAGGTACAAAATCGTTTTGGCAATTGTAAAGGTTATATAATTTTTCGTGGTGTCCGCAGTTTCTGGTGAAAATTGAACATGTGCTCGCGCAACCATCTCCTGACTTTATGTACTTTATGCGTGTCAGATCGCTCTCGTTTTGGCGCGGCGCTCATTTTGAGATTGCTCGCGCAACCCTCTCGTCACTTTGCACGAGTCAGATCACTCTCACGGTGCTCATTTTGATGTCGCTCACAGCCCTCTCGGCACTTTGTGCGTGTCAAATCGCTCTCGCTGTGGCGCGGTGCCTCGTTTGATAATGACGGCGATCTGGCGCAGAGATCTTGCACAGACCTCTGAGAAAGACCTTGTACAGAGATCTTGTCAAGAGACTTCTGAGAGACCTCTTGTAGAGAGCTTGCACAGAGATCTCTGAAAAACAGGAAATCTTACCAAGAGACCCTTTATAGAGAGCTCGTACAGAGATCTTGCCAAGAGATGCCAAGAGACCTCATATAGAGGCCTAATGTAGAGAGCTTGTACAGAGATCTCTTACAGAGATCTTGCCAAGAGACCTCTTGTACAGATCTCCTACAGATCCTGCAGGGACCTTGCATGCAAAGATCTTGTTGTGATATGACTAGAGGTCTCTCATGGCAACCTTGTACAGGCATCTTGCATTAAGATCTCTAACAGCCACCTGACCAAGAGACCTCTTCTAGATATCTTGTACAGAGACAATGCAGTGCATAGATAGTTTTTGTAGGGATCTTGCCAAGTAAGAGATCTTGCTAAGAGATTTGTTGTAGACAGCTTGAACAGGGGTCCTTTTCAGAGATCTTTTGCAGAGATCTTGTATGGAGATCTCTTGGAGCTCTCTTTCTGGGAGTTTGTGCAGAGATCTCCTACAGCAATCTTGCCAAGAGATCTCTTCTAGAGACCTTGTGGAGGGATATCTGTTAGAGATCTCTTACAGAGATCTCTTGCAGAGATCTTGCCAAGAGACCTCATACAGAGATCTTGTTCAGATATCTTGTACAGAGATGTACAGAGGGCTTGAATAGAGATCTCTTGTGCAGATCTTCCCAAGAGGTCTCTTACAGATATCTTGCTAAGAGATCTCTGAAAATAAGCTTAGAAAGAGATATTATTTAGAGATCTCTTACAGAGATCTTGCATGTAGATTTCTGGTAGCGACCTTGTGCAGGGATCTTGTATTGAGATTTCTTAGGGACTTTGCACAGACAGCTTGCCAGGAGACCTCTTGTAGAGGTTTTGTACAGAGACCTTGTGAAGAGAACAGGGATCTTGATCTTGCTAAGAGATCTCTTTTAGGGAGCTTAAACAGAGATCTTACTTAGAGATATCTTACAGGTATCTTGCGTGGAGATCTCTTATAAACACTTTGTACGTATATCCTTACAAGGGATCTTGCACAGCAACTTCTATAGTTAAGGACATACACTTAGAACACAAATTGTTGTCCAAATTATTTTTTCATACACTTAGGACGCCTTCCCCCTGCGTGCGAAATTTACCCTATACAGATATCCTGTCACGGAGAGCTTGCCCACGATCTTCTACAGAGATCTTAACAAAGGGAACTTGCAGAATCTAAGCCGGTATCTCTTTGTCATCTACACTGGCATCTCTTGGTCATGTTCCTTGCAAAACTGTTTGGGGTCTCCGGAATAATTGTTCAGATCAAATCCATTGTTACTGTATACCCGTCTGCATGTTGTTGCAGGGGCGTGGCAGATTTATACCCCGTGTTTACTATATTTATGTTTAATTAAATCCATTATTAAACCCTTCTACATACTGTTTGAGGGGGATGGCAGTTTCATAGCATGTACTTAACTGTAGTTATGTTATGCGTACCGTGTGTTGATGCAAGAGATGTGAGAATTGTGGTAAAAGTTGTTTATTGTGTCATGTCATGTTGGGCGAACGTTGGGTTCTGCGGGAGTACTTTAAAATATGTTAAACATCTAGCCCAACCTTATTTGCAAATGGGTGGTGCTCATGTCTAGAGTTATTAACTTTGCGTCTGAAGAATTCAGGTGTGGTAAGGATTACTGAGAAGCATCAAACAAGAAGCAGCTTGGAAAAAGTGCATTTGTTGGCACACAACTTGCACTTCATCTTCAATGAACGGCACAACGAACCTAGTGTTGAATAGTGCGACATCGTAGCTCCACTGGCAGGAGAGTGTAATCCGTGTGGCTGGAGTCTGGAGAGTCCAGAACATACGCTCCTGAGCTGTGTGAAGACTCAAATTCACGGGACACGTGAGACACCTACAAGCTGAAAGGAAGGCAACCCATTTGCCTACAAGCAAATAAACATGACCATTTAAATTTAAATCCAAGCTTCACAAGGAAAGGTTTTGTCTTCACGTGGG